ATCTCGCTTTTCTCTGAATTCGATCGCGTCAAACTGTCTCTTTGCCACACTGCTCGCAGCAGATTTTACTCCAAATAGTAAGAACATCCGCTCAGTTTCCTCCTCTTCTAACTGGAATCAGGGTCAATAAGTAGGTAGGTTAAGTTCAGCGGCGAATTGCTTCAGACTGTCTCCATTTTCGACCGCAAACGCCACAGCGATGGAATTTTCCTCTCCTAGATGACACACGTGTTTGACACACAATAATATTGCACATGAATAATAAGAATCTTTATAAATTATAGTCTACTCTTCACCTAATGTTATTAGATTGATTAAATAAACTAGGCAGAGACTGGCGAGGCATATAGCATGTCTAACAGATGAAAAATTCAAATACGATTTAATGTTCTAAAGGCGGCGAAGATATCGATATTGATTTTATGAGCTGTAACACTGAGATGATTAGAAGGTAGAAACTAACGTTTCGGAGGAATACATTGCCTCCATCTTCAGGGCTCGAACATAAGCTACTCAAGAAGGACTCTACTCCACGAAGCCAGTTAATAACCTTAAATAACGCTATTAAAATAACTGTTACTAGAATTATACAGATAAATGCTGAACTAAAGACCACAAAATAATAGCAAAATAAACTCTGACGGATGCGAAAATATTTTCAAACCGACTTACAAAACAAATGAGATACCTTAGCCCACTCACTAGCTGGGATATCGACGTAAGGTTGAACCTTGACATGCTGAAATGTCAAGGCAATGGCCGGGGGTTAACAAACAAACTGGCAGACACTTGACATGCTGTAATGTCAAGGCAACGACCGGGGGTTAACAAACAAACTGGCAGACGAACAGAAAATACAAGTTATAAGCGAGAGAAAGTGTCAAACAAACAAACAAACCAAAGTCACACACACAGAAAGCATCGTCATTTAAATCGCATGGGAAGAGTGATGCCTGGAGACTTGAATGAAAGTGGACTGATCAATGTCGAGTCCTTCAACAGGTCCTACGTGACATAGAGAAACATCAGTTACACAAGGATGCGAGTTTCGAACTAGCCATCCCCCATCGATCACGTGTTGGTGAATGCACATTATATCGTGACACTTACACTTGTTAAAAGCAAAAATTGTACTGGCAGCGAGCGTCGAAACAGTGTGACGTATTTCATGCGTTTGGCCTTTCCTTCTTGATCCTTATTTCTTATCTATATTTCTACTTCTTTACGTTTTCCATGTCTATCGTTAAAACTCATCATTCCACCTTTCCACTCCCACGCCATTTGCTGGTACTGCAATGCTACTTCTGATAACACAGGTAAGGCATTCACGCAGATAAACTGCTGTGTAAGTATGTTGAGGTAGCAACAACACCTGAATGCTATTTAGACCAGTCCGGTTGTACTCGATCTTAATACAGTCTTGTGTTACTTACCTCATTTAGCGACTGTGAATTTACAACACAACGAGTAGACGAAATTCACATGCCTAAGACATAGCTACATTGAAAGTGATTTTAACAGACTCGAAGCCTTGTGAATTCATCGTCTGTTACTTTAGGAAAGAACGGCGAGAACTCGGCCGAGGAAAACATCTACCTAAAGACGATTAAGTTGTCACTTAAAGAGGAATACAGTGAAAAATATATACAGGGAAACTTGTACTGTTACGACAGTGAAATATAGGATGAAATGATCGACTGTGAGTGTATGTAAGATGACGAGGCAATGAATATACACAAAATGGTATCGGGGAATCCCCATTTAAACCGGAAACTTGGAGTACTCATAAGTAAATGAGAGGACAGCGTGTAGATTATTATTAAGATTGCAGGTGAGAGAGGGAATGATATTAATTTGGGCCGTGTTTATTGATTAGTATTTTGAGAGTTTTAGGAACGTGTGATTCTACGTAATATAAGACTTACTTGATTCTTTAGAATTCGTTTCAATGTTTCAGACCCTGGAGGTCCCCCTGATTAAAGCATGTAGTGTGCTATTAGGCAGATGAACGGTGGGGTTGCGGGTTCGAATTCAGCTAAGGCTATAGACGTTTATATATCTTTCTCATCACGGCCAGACATCCATCTTACTTAAAAGTTTTTTTTTCAAGGGATGGCCACACAGACTCATTACTGGAGGATCATGGAACTGAGCACCTCAGGAATTATGAAAAAAACGATCTCATAATGAGACAATCTAATGTTTCTAGCTGTGGATCATTTACAGTCCAGTCTGTTCTTACCAAGCAGCGTTTTTTACGGCCACTACTTTCTGAGTCAAACAGACTTGTACACCCTTGTCTACATACGAGTGATACTAATGAATGACAAAATGTGGGCGTGGAACATTGTCTCCGACCGTTAGAAAAAAACACATATTTTAAGGTGTCTGAGTACAGGATAGTGAATAAGATATTTGTATCTAATAGGGAGAGAGAATGGAGGAAATTACATAGCGAGAAACTTCATAATTTGTACTCCTCAAACAATAGTATTAACGTGATTAATTAACGGAGGATGAGATGGGCGGAGCATGCAGAAAGTATAGAGAAGAATGGAAACATATTTGGAGACCAGAAAATAGTTGTGTGGATAATATTAAAATGTACCTTAAGAATTTAGTCTGATTTTATGGCCTGGATTCATTTGACTCTTATAAAAATTTTAATAATTTATTCTGGTTTTGTAGAAGACGGGGAATTTATTATCACAGCGGTTTTCAGCTCCTCAAGCACAAATCGGTTCCATGGAATAAGTTACTTTTATCTGAGAAATGCGAAAGGCATTTGAAACCTTATATGCGATTTAAAGGAGACTCTCCCCCTCGTATTATGCATGAATGGCATAACCTGGTTTATTAAACGAGACTGTTAGAGCTTAGATTATGGATACAGCTTCAAATAATATGGGTGTATAGTGAATAATTAGATGTACAGACTGTGGAAGTTAAGGGCTGTGACCCAGTTTAAGGTATGCTTAATATTTCGGCAAATTCGTGGAGGGACTGAGAAAAAAACTCGACAATCCGCAGTCAGAATTTCCGGTCGCGATTTCAAACCGGGACGTCCCAAATAAAAAGCAGGGTTATTAACTTTGTGGTATTACTGAAGTACGCCTTCTTGGTGGCGATATTCAGTCTTCTGAACTGGTACTGGACAAAAGAGTCTTTGGCAACGGAGAAAGTCCAGTTGAACGATGCGTTATGAATAGACAAATAACATCCCTATTGCGATGATGTATTGGAACTAATGTACATGCTGTGAAATATGACTGGGTGGGATTGGAGCAATTTTACCGTCTCTGTTAGCTCCGTGGTACAGTTGCTAAGTGAGATAAATGTTTAAAGACTAATTGATTGAAAATTAAGATTGTGTAAAATTTTACCTCTTGTCCCTTGCAGGTCTTCATGGAGTGTTGCTGACGCAGAGGGACAAATTTTACAGTTCAGTCATTGACTAGGTTATTAACAAAATATGTAAATTATTTACCCTCGATCCAATTAGCTGATGAGCCAAGTACAAGTTTTATAATTTGGCCGACTTTTTTTAACGAGTCACTTTATAAACTAAATGATCCACCGACAGTCGTAACCTATCGTCTAATTAACTAACAAAATCATTTATTGGGTATCAGACTAGCTGTGGCGAAACAACTGATTTTACATTCGAAAGATCAAGAAACTTATTTGATAATTAACTTACGAATTAATTATGAAAGCCGAAGGTTTATTACCGCGTTTAAAACAGCCCCTAACCTGTTCACATTCAAACACACTGCCTCTTCAGTATTCACGTTAACATTTTATCATGATCTACGTGTTGGCTTCGAAGTTGGATCTTTTTTCACAATTTCCAACTGAAGTGTCTTCTCATCCCTTATATGTGAATTACATAGCACGCTAATCTCATTTTCCTTCATATGATAACTCGTCTTCCGGAGCACTGGTAAACATTTCGAAACTGTCTACCTTCTTAAGGTGAGGGATTGTTTGATACGCGCCCAGTCAACAGTCAATGCTTATTAATGTATTCGCGGCTAGCATACATATCTGGAGAGAGGCTCCTCCATCAGGAACTGATTGTACGGTTTGTCGTGATGAAAAGCGATTCACCTAATAAAGACACGATTTCAGCTTCAGATCATATAAGAACGGTTTAGAAAAATTGTCGGAGCGTATTTTAAGGTAAATTCCTGGTATTAGCGTGGGATACCATGCCCAAGATTCGACTCTGAGGTACTTTCTCGTGCATGTCGTGTTGAGTGTCTTTGAGTAGAAGGAAACGTAAATGAAGACATTTAAAGTAATTAACGAGGCACAGCTGACTGTTTGCTAAGCAAACATGTCGGAGTAAGGGGAGAACATTAGGAGTGAATGTGGAATAAGGGTCCTTAAGCTTTTTAGGTTAAAGACAAATCCAGATCAAAAGAACACCAGAATTTACCAAGTGACCGGTAAATCGTGGAACACTACCTTACATTATACATTGCTTGCCCCAACTTTCATTGTAATTCATAATTTAGATATCTATTAGATACTCGTAAAATTTTGAGTTAAAAATGAGTCATTGAATGACAAAGAGCTTGATTAAAATTTACAAAACTTTGAATTACGTATACAAAAATGACTTGCGGATCATAAATATTTTTTTTAACCGACTACTTAATTTAAACAAAATACAACTATACGCCATGCTAATTAGAATCTGGGCAACTTCCTGTTTTTTTTTTCCCGCTACTTTTTATGTGCAGTTTCTACATGTCCGACACTGACGCACATCAAGTTGCTCTTAAAAACAAATCACTTACCTGACAAGACCCTTTTAGAGCAAGATCGTCATAACAAACAAACAAACACACACACACAATCCACGCATAAACCAAGCCATGAGCTGTAGAGCAGGTTTTCTCATGGGTACCGGTTTGCAGGATCTCGAGTAGGCTACACCCTCTGGCCGTAGCTGAGGAAGCCCCCACAGTACCATATAAGCACGAGGTCACACGCGGATTCTCACCACTATTACGACAGACAAGCTCACAGGAACAAAATTCTGGAAATGTTCTAGTCGGCAGAACAGTCCATTTCGTTTCTCAAGTATACAGAAGTCATGGGTCAGATGTCTGCAGTTTTGTTATTGACGTGCTTTCTGGCGATTTCGTGGGCAAACCCCATCGCCTCTACCAAAGAGGAAGGCGTCGAGACCGAGGACGTTGTAGTGCCAGATGGAGAGATTCAGGATAAAGTTGTTAAAGAGATTCTTACAGTTCCGGGTACAGTTTCTAACGAAGAATATGTTAAAGATGTAACAAAGACAGATGTAAAATCAGAAGACGTAAAGCTCCAAGATACAGCAGAAAAACATCCGCGGGACGGAAGAAATCTTGGCGGCGAACACCACGCCAATGAAATCGGAGGAACGAGCCACCAGTCATCCTCCGAACTGGAAGAAGCTTTGACACAAAAATTAAACAAGAAATGCAGTCAGAGGGATGTGTCTTCTTGCTTTATGTTGAAGATGGTAACGTACATAAACCGATTGATCAAGAAATCAAACATAGAGGTTTTCGAAGGTTTGCATATAACCCAGACGGTGTCAGAAAGCCAAGTCGCAGATGAAACACAGGTCATGGACAGTCCGCGAAGTGCAGTGGAGGATGATGACGAGACCCAACTAAGTCAACTGATATCCAACAAACTATGGACTTTCGTGAGGACGAGGTCCTTAAGATGGAGTGTCCTGCCTGACGCCGATGTCGTCATGTCGACAAATCCTGACGAAGAGGGAGAGCTGAATGTAGGGATGTCCATCCGTACAGGCAAAGCGATTGAGATGGGTAAGTACCACGAATGTTATATAAAGTCAAGCTACTTAACACTTCCGATGACACGAACAAAACATCTCGTTTAAAATACTCAAGTTGCTGTTTTTTAATTATTGGTGTTTCAGAACATCAGTGAAAGTAGTAACTTATCTCACATTTTGTAGACAATTGACATTTTTGTGGTTTTTAACCACGTAAATAAAATTACACAATTTTCTTACATGCAGACTCAAAATAACACTGCTACTGTATGAGCTCCCTTAAAGATATTAATTTGATCTAGATCGATACATTTCAATTGTGACCAATATGCTACAAATCTGTTAATGTTATACTCCATGGACATTATGGTGTGTATTAATAAGACACTAACTTTATGATATTAAAAGTAATGAGTAACTGTAATATACCAGAAGAATAATATTTGTGCGGAGAGAAAGTATAAATACAAATTACGTAAAGACGTTACCTGCATAGAAACTTTATGAACGACTAAGCAAGTGACAGAGCACTTGAAACAATTAAATACAGATAGGAGGATAATATTAACATGGATCTTAATTAAGTAGGGTGCAGGGTGTGGACTGAATTTATATGGATCTGAATAGGTGACTAGTTTCGTACTCATATGAAGAGTATACTAAATTTTAGGGTCCCATAGGTAGCGGTTAATTTCGTGACCATATAAGCGACTATTAGCTTTTAAATGACATGCTCTATTCAGTTAATTTGATTCGGAAATGACTTGTAAACGATTGTGTGTTGAAGAGAGATCAAAAAGATGTCGGTATTTTATAGGGTTTTTAAGACGTGTGATGAAACAGATACTGGTTTATGTTTTAACAAGTATGGGTTATGTCCATTGTATCGCTGATACAGGACTATGGAAGTAAAACAGAATTCTTAATACATTAGAAACTTCACAAATGTGATTTTTAACAGAAGTTTCTGGATGCATTTTACTAAACAAATAACACAAATAAGATGACCATAAAGTGTTACCACAAACATTGAAAGTTCAATTTAACACGAGACCCTCAGGTTTTCGACTAATTACTTATAAAATATATGAAACAAATAAGTTATTTGTTAATTGTGATTTAATTTGTGCTCTGATAACCAAGTAGCCTTGAGAAGCTAATAGTCGCTGAGCCAATCAAAGATTTCCCCCTTTTTATGGAACCAGAAAATTCATTACCGCGTTCACAAGAGCTATCCAGTGGCCCTGGTCCTGAGCTGGATAAATCCAATTAGTATTCTAACACTCTATTTGTGTAAGATTAAATTTAGTAGTATCTACGCCAAGTTTCCAAAGTGAATCCGCTAGTATGTTAATTTCCATATTATCGGGAGCCCAATAATCACTTGTAACATCTCATTTCACATTCCAGCGGCTAACCGGAAAGTCAGTCAGATTATTAACTAGCTCTACGCTATTCAACACAAAATTACGTTTAAACTGGATCTACTATTTGAAATAACAAATACATTTAAGTCACACAGTTAGAATTTTTAAGTAACTAATAAAGGTATTGAGACAAAGACGAAACTATTATAAGAAAACATCTACTTATATTAACAATTATTCAAATCCACTCATGTTGATTCTAAACGATTCTGACGATGGTGTATTAGAATCTTGGTTACTGAACTTATGGACTTATCCATCGTCTGGTATTCTAAAAACACACAACGATTCGAAAGTATTTCTCGAAACGTTGTGTTTTTTTTTAAATGTCAGACGATAGATAAAATCCAAGAACTCGGTAATCCACGAAGATTAATGTTTAATCCATATGGTGAGAATGCTTTGTTATATTTTTCTTAGACGTAGAAATTGTTATAACACTATATTCGATCTCGTGGCTGTAGTCAACTGCCTCCAGGCAATATTTTGGCCAATACTCCGATATACCACAACCTAGTATCTTTGCGGTACGGATTGGTCTAACTACAATCCTTGACTACATTTTGCCGCGGGGTGAGAGAGACATATTGCCACGCACTGCCCCATATTCATTACGATACAAATGGACAATTATTTCCGTGTCGCACTTCGTCATCACTAAAAGGCGAAAAAAGCTATCTAAAACATTCCAACTGTTGTTCGCTTACTCTGAAACGTAGATGCGGACTTCTAGTTCTGAAACTAATAGGACGTAGGAAAAATGCTTAGGGAAGCTTACACTCCCTATATTAATTAAAACATATTATTTTAGGCTGTAGTGAAAACTTAGTTTCGATAGGTTAATATGCAGGAAACACAGTTCTTGTTGAGAAACTAATAGTTGCTAAGCTGGCCAAAAAATTCACCAACATTTTCAGAACCTGAAGCTTATCTACGTTTTTCTCCATGATTCGCTACTGTTCCATATCCTGAATGAGACTAATTCAGTGACCGCCCTATCACTTTAATATTATCATTCATTCTAATTTAGGTCTCGTCAATTTCGTGAGAGTATAAACTGGAATTAATTTTAATCAGGATCAGGTTCCGTGGTGAAATGTTAGTCTTTGCACGCGCCAATGAAATTTTGGATTCTGTAAACATCATGGAATTTACTTAAAAGATAAGCGACTGTCAACGTCTCAAGAACGGATATGTTCCTTGGAGTTTCTTAGTCATCCAGTTCTGGTAAACTTGTAACAATTTTCCGATACAATAAAACAGTTGTCAAAAGTCATTCATAGAATATTGATTCCTGATTACATTTATTCAAGTGATAAGTTAAATGTGACGACATTACTTTACACATACATTCACGAGTTTTCCGAATGGAACCGCGACTCAGTTTACAATTGTCCTGAGGATTTGTTAAGATTATTCTAAGATTATTCTAAGATTATTGGAGAAAATGCTGCGATAGTAGTAATTTTAAAATCAACAACGACCACACACTTCCAAAAACCTTTTTAAGGACCTGTACACAACTCTTTAATTGAAACGATGTCATTAAATAACAAGACAATCGATCATGATAAATATCCAACACGTGATTTATCGTGTTAAAAGTTTAACGAGATTTTAAATCAACAAATGAATATGTAACATATCAAATATGAAAGGAAGCAGGTAACTAACTTGTAAGCTAAGTAACTAAGTACATAACTGATTAAGGTCGTGCCGTAGCGTAGGCTGTTATTCACATGGTCTTCTGAGCGAATACTCGGGCTTAATGACAGGATAATAGATTGTTATTTGTTGTGGAAAAAATGACACTGGAGGATGTATATCTCCGGTGTTTCATGTTCCCCTGACAATCGTCATTCTAACAAAAGATCCACATTCATCTATCGTCACCATTAACATCAGGGGATGGTAAAATGGACTCATTTAAGGCCTCAGTACCAAAAGACTGGTTATCTATTTATTTCTTGCGTTATATTATATGGCTGAATAACTAAGTGAAAATTTTGTGTGGGGATCTTCATCAAACCCGCCTTGGCGTTACCCCTCTTCCATGTGTAATTTAGGATATCACGGAAGAAATATTAAAACCAGGATAATAACAAAGTTTAATTAATTTAAAATTACAGTTCTGGTGTCACTATGTTAACGCTGATTCTGCTTTTAGGCCGCGGGAGAAGGAGAAGGCAGCAGATGGGACCTCTCATAGCTGCGGCGATCATGAAGTTTGGTTTGCTGGGAGGCCTAGCGTTTAAGGGGCTGGTTCTTCTGGTCGGCAAAGCGCTGCTGGTGAGCAAGATAGCGCTGCTTCTGGCTGGCATTCTGTGGCTCAAGAAACTCTTCTCGCAGCAAAAGCACGTCACGTACGAAGTCGTGGCACATCCGCACCATTCTCACTCTAACGTGGAGCATCATGGCGGCGACTCGTTGAGCTCGGGATGGGGTCGCAGTTCGGAAGCACACCAACTCGCCTACAGCGGTTATGCTCCCAACGCCAAGACACAGTGAGGTGAGTAGCGTACTACTGCAACTCCCAAAGAAGAAGGTGTCGCGTTGCGAGCTTGGCTTGGCGTACACCACGGACTTAACAGACGCACACCGTGATGTTTTTGTATCCCAGAAAAATTAACAAACTTTAAGGTGCACAGAACCTCTTTCGAGCCTGGTAACCCCTCCTCATGTTAGAAATTTTGTTATGCTTTTAAGGGACCTGGAGATTATTGCCGTGATTATACAAGTTCGGCACCGGACCATATTCTAACCAAGATTATTGCCGTGATTATAAAAGTTCGGCACCGGACCATATTCTAACCAGACAATCCTGTTTCTCAAAGATATATTTTAAAACTTATCTCATGCCTTAAGCGGTGTTTTATCCCACGATCCGAGAGATCTGGGACAACGTCCCGGAACTTGGGGCAGCTGTGACAGGCAGATTAAGAAGCTGCCTCACTAAATAAGTAACCATTTAAGTAACCAATTTGCAGATAACAGAATAGTTAAGTAATTACGTAAGAAACTGAGAAACTATTGAACCAAGAAAGCAGATAAATAAGTAGATGTGTAACTGATTAACTAATAAGTAACTAAACTAAGTATAGAGGTAAGATCAATTTCAGTAAGTTATGCGGTGTAACATACATAATTTTTATGATTTGAGGTTTTCACAGCGGTGAGTAAGAAGACAGAAATCTTCATACTCATCGCCCTGATGATGGAGGCAGTATGACCTCTGAAACGGTGGTTAACATCGACCAGACTACACAGCGCAACAACCCAGAAGACAGAAATCTTCATACTCATCGCCCTGATGATGGAGGCAGTATGACCTCTGAAACGGTGGTTAACATCGACCAGACTACACAGCGCAACAACCCAGAAGACAGAAATCTTCATACTCATCGCCCTGATGATGGAGGCAGTATGACCTCTGAAACGGTGGTTAACATCGACCAGACTACACAGCGCAACAACCCAGAAGACAGAAATCTTCATCAATCATTTTACTGACTTTAAGACATTAAACGTGCTTTATAAGAAACTTAATGTAAATTGTTCTATTTTTTCCAGGTGATCAAAAATCGTCAAGGCTGTTGGTCTAAATTCTACACATATCCCAGAAGACATTTGAATGCTCACGTTGTGTTGTGAATAAAAATGCTAGTGTGCATTGAGATTGTGTTCATCTGAAGAAGAAATGTGTGGGGCCAGTACATACTGACGAAATGAGACGCAGATAACAGTGCTAATTGTCATTATACAGGAAAACCAGCCAAGTTTCTGGTCAATGATGAAACCACCAAATTAGGACCGAGGATATGATAATATGCTTTTAGGTCAGAGCTATTACACGCCACGTGGGACAGTGAGAGATGATGAATTGGTGGCCAAAGCAGAAGAGGAATGCTTACTTCATTGCCAATAACTCAGGCTTTCTAAAAGAGCTGGTATTAATGTTGAAAATAACCTCTACCCCTTAACTTCAGAACTGATCGTGGTAATTGGTTCTTAACACAACAAATAATACAGGCAGACAGAAAACAATGCAAACATTCATAAATTATTATTCATATAACATTGTTGAATAGGTATTAAATCCAATAAGAACCGTTAATTTTACGGGCGAACACTCAGAGATCGACAGCAGTACAGACATGACGTCATACGAGTTTACATGAAAAAAACTGAAGATCGAGCTCTGGCCAAAGACCATATTCTGTGTCTGAATATAATATGTATTTATTACGTGCATGTATATTTAATTTTAACACGACACACCCCCTTAACTGGTTTATAACTGTTGTTTTATTTCTGTTGGTTAGAGGACCGAGGGCAACAACTTCAGTCCGATTTGACTTTATCGCAAAACTATATTCCAATTGGAAATTTATATCAAAATATATTAACAATCTGGGTCTTGAGAGAAATTTCGAGATAAATTATCAGAATATGTCGTAACTTACAACTGGGAATGAGATAGTCGAACGAGGTCTCCGGTATAATGTTTTTATTAATACTTTGATTGTAACAATCACATTTTGTGACGTAATGTGCAAAATTAATTACTTTTCTAGCAATGGTAGACATATACCTCCACGTATTCTTAACTTTGACACTATTTGGAGCTGAGTGGTAACCTTCGCCTTAACCCGTCAAAAGGGTCCCTCGCACTCCCCGCTTAACGCACCTAGTGGTCCTCAAATTTTCTTTGGGCGCGATGGTAAAAAGAAAAGTCTCTGTTGTCAAGCCCCTAACCAGTCACTGGTACAAACACGATTCTAAATTATGTTCACTCAGTGCTAATAATTATCAGCATATTAACAAATTTTTGAAATTAAAACTTGCTTTTTTTTATGAAATTTTCAGTAAGAATGCTTTAAAATAACCTTTACAGGGCTCCGAGTAAAAGTAATTTCTCTACCCTGTCGTTTAGATTATAACGATGACACCTTAAGACTTAACTTCTACAGAAAGGAATCTATTCGGTACACAAACTCTATTTACTTAAAACTGACTTAATTAATACCCTCATTCTGACTGCTAACATTTGTTGACAAAGGGAACATAAACTTATACTGTGATATATATATATATATGTATATCATATTTTACGACAATTTGCTTTAAATGCACAACTTACATTTATTAGCTTAATAACATTGAACTCAGGGGGATAAGATATTATTTATTTTATAGAACTCAAAATATATATAGTTAATTATGCTATTTTGAACATGAATAAATTGTATTTATCACTGTTGCTTATTTATCATAGAACGAAGATCCATTTCTTACAAAGATTACGTCCTAATCATACCCACGACTGTTATCCAGCCCATGTGCAGGTAACCAGATGGCATTAAATCCATACTTTTGGCTGAATAAATATGGTAAACCGATGGACAACCTATAATTAAATAAAAATTTATGAGCGACCACGAAGAGTATGCTCACATTTTTGGGCTGAAGATGAACTCATGCGTCAGTATAATGACAACCAGTTACCAGGAAGAGACAGTAAACTCCCGAAACGTCATGTATATTAAATATTTTCCAGCCATGAAAAATACAGTCCATAACATAATATTAGTTCTATTAATGCGTCTGTTACTACAGAATGCTTATCAATTATTAAAAATGAGTATGCAAAATAAAGCAGATTAGTTAAGATCGTGACACTTGTTTTAAGATAATACTTCCGAAGTCACCTACAGACGGTGAGTAAAACCACAAGTCTCTATCGGGACGTAAACTTAATCCAGGATCTTGTCCTTGGAATCTCTAAAATGGTAGATTATAACTGTAGAGTGGAGCTCTTGAATGCTTTGTAAGTATTTTAAGGCGTTCTTTAACAATATTGTACAGAGAAGGACTCAGGATATACAATTTATTCAACGCAATACCATGACAGAACACGAAAGACAGAAGGCAGCCATCTTCATACTCACCGCCGTGAAAACCTGAGATCCTACCTCGTTAATTCATTGTCTCCCTAGTTAATTAATACAGAAATGTTATTTAGTCTGAGAAAAAATTGCTACGGAGTTATTTATTGATTAGGTCTAATCTTCAGTATATTTAATGACGCTATCAAAACTTCTGAGATAATATATCATGAAATGAGACAAGAGTTTGGAGGCCGTATGGGTTCCGTAAGCCATCTAGTTAGTTAGTTAGTTATGTTATTTAGTCTGAGAAAAAATTTCTACGGAGTTATTTATTGATTAGGTCTAATCTTCAGTATATTTAATGACGCTATCAAAACTTCTGAGATAATATATCATGAAATGAGACAAGAGTTTGGAGGCCGTATGGTCTGCTTGAATATATTATGTCAGAATTTGCATGGAGGGATTTGGTAAAACATTTAAAAACGTGAGTTTCATTAGACAGTCTGGCCGAGATCCGAGCCCCGTATCTGGAGATTCAGTCGAGGATTATTCTCGGCCAGTCAGTGCAGTGTAACCTGCAAAGTCGGCCAGTTTACCAGTTTGACAACATTTTATACAACCATCAAAGGTGTTATATTCATGAACAAGTGTCTGTAAAATGAGCAGCTACCAAACCTGAATCTTGACCTCCTATCACGTTCACGAATCGGACAACGTGTTGCCTGGTACTTCCTGCCACACCTGGCTAATATACGTACAGGTGTTCGTAGTTAGAGCGGTTTAGAACACAGCAAAGATGAAAATATTTGTGACTGCACTGGAGGAAGATAGAAGAATCCGGAGAGATTACACAACGACGTGTTTATTAATTACAACTACACAAAGTTTATTACCTACTTAAATCCGTGGCTTCTTAGTCCCTGAAGGACCTTAGCTACCTCACATATGGCAGGTTTCTTAAGACATTAAGACACTCGGTGGGACTCCTCGGACAACTCATCAGTCCGTCGCAAGGCAAAGATCCATATCTTAAGCGGGGTTCGAACCTAAGTTCTCAGTGTCTGAGCAACCACTGTGACCAGAACTAAGTGTTATTAGGACAATATAATAAAGGATGAGATGAACGGGAACGTAGGAGGCGTACGTGAGGTGTTGAATGTATGTGAGTGTTTGGTCGGCCTCAAGGCAAGAGACCACCTCGAATGATAATATTATTGATCTCAGAGGTACAGGATGTGAGAGTGTGGACGGATTCATCTGGTTCAGGATAGAGACTGGTAACGGGTTTCTGTGAACATGCTAATGACCACTTTTAGTTCTATAAAAGTCGGAGAACGTCTTTACTAAGCTGAATGAAGGACGACTTTCAATAATGGCATGAAAGGGGGTGGATGAAAGCGGTTGTGGGCTATTTTAAGACATTACTTCAGATATTTAGGAAGTACTTAGTAAAACCACGATACATGTGCTCCGGAACGAACCATCCATCCATACACCCTCAAGTTCTAGAATAAATCACCCAGAAATGTTATACTTTTTAAATATCCCTCATCTATAAATATTAAGACACAAAACTACGTGTCTCTCGAACGTCAGAAATTTGTAATAATAAAATGGTAATATAATTATTTCAAGAAAGTGAAAAGTATGGATGCGGGGGGAGGGGGGTTCGTTCTGACATCATATTGAAAATAATTTTCATGGAGTTCCATGATTAACTTCAGAAATTGTGGTCATACAGACACAGACACACACAAAAGTAGAAAATAACATCATACAATTATGTTTCATTAAAGAAATTAATTAAAAAATTAAACTTTACACAGTTTCGGTAACTGTAGTGTTTTTATTTCCAGTTTGAGTTGAAAGTCGGACGCTCCTTGGATCGAGCCATGACGCGATATGTTTGCTTCACGGTTGCGTTGTCTAGAAAACTCATTGTAGACATAAATTACTTGCAAATTTTTACAGATTTCTTTTTTGTTTTGTTACATAACGACTGCAGTTTTTATGCTAATTTAGAGATGTTTGAATTATCACCATTATTAAGCTTGGAGGAATGTGGTGTTTGGCAAGTCAATATCCGCTTAAAGGGGATTAAAATCGGCCACCGTCTTAAAATAAGATAACTACATCTTTAGACAATTTCATTATAGACGTTTACCAATTTAGAGTTTTATAGTCATTAGTGTAAAAAATAATTAACTATTTAATGACGCCGTTTCAAAAGTATAACATCGATTGAGGTGAAGCCAGTCAACGTTTCGAACAAGGAGGTCGTGGCCTATTTTACTGTAGTATATAAACATTTACCATGCTAATCTGCTTGTCTTTTTTTAAAAAAATGTTAAAGTCTTATGAGTAAACCAATAACATATTCCGACTTCATAATACAAACCGTCATTTTCTTCACTGAATGTAATTAAATGAGCAGTGTAAGACTTGAGGTTCTCACAGCGGTGAGTATGAATCGCCCTGATGACGGAGGCAGTATGACCTCTGAAACGTTGGTTAACATCGACCAGACTACACAGCGCGATAACCCAGAAGACAGAAATCTAAATGAGAAGTGTTGGCAAATAGTAAAAGCTGAGTTACTTTACACAAATAGGGAAATAGTGTGCTTTTCGTATCGTTGTCTAGCAATTGTGGCGCATTTCGTAGTGTTATTTATCTAAATTTCTAATTTGTAAATGCTCATCTTAAATATACTCTACTAGATAGAGTGAAACAGGTGGAGATGATGAGAGAAGAAATGCAGTGTAAAGTAAGCTGAAGATCAGTTCAGAGGTTCTCGAGTTATGCAATATCACGGCATATATATTTTTTTAATCACCTCGAAACCCGTAATGACTTACGGAAAATGTAGAGCGTAAAATGCGAGTTTTACTTTTCTCTAGAAGATATTTTGCTCCGGTAGATATTTAGCGGGTAACGCCTCGGATGGGCACGGAAACGTACGTAGGACTTCACGCAAAGCGTCCGTCACAGCTGTCCCGATTTTAATGAAAACTGGAATGCCTCCAGAAATATTTTATCACAACTCCGCAATATAGAACATCATCACAATCATTTCGGCGATCCCTAGATGTTGAATGCAGAGAGACGAAAATGGCGAAGCACATTTTTGTGACAATTCGTTTCGAAGGCGCCAAAACATACGCAGATGTTGATAAAAAGTACGTAATATATATACCAGAGTATGAAGGTTTTACAAGTTTATATTACGTGCTTATAACTTATAATAGCAATTCATCACAATCATTTCAGCAGAAGGCGCCAAAACAAACGCAGATGTTGATAACAAGTACGTAATATATAGATCAGAGTATCCTGGGTCAAGGAAAGGGACCCTCATAATGAATATGAAGGTTTTACAAGTTTAAATTACGTGCTTATAACTTATAATAGCAAGTACTATGAAAAATCTAAGATCTTCACATCCTCATTAATGATATACAATATTTGACCTTTGTTAATTTATTTAAATATATTTTCAGAACTTTGATACCGACATGGGTACATTTATATTAAATTAACAAAAAATTATATCACTCACAAAAATGTACTGCAGTAGAATAACAACCTATTTATTGTAAATCTATCATTATTAGCGAACTAAAGTAGGCTTTTATTTTAACAAATACAATAAAATAAATAATTATAAATATATTTAAATTACTTAAGACTATTCATTAGCACTTAGAAGGTACCATTGTTTAACAAAATAACGCAGCGAAGAAATACACTGCATTTAAAATTCACATGTCCGTATACAGTCGATCAAAGTCACATTTGCGTGGCTTATACGCTATTTTGTAATATGCAATGGCCGACAGATGCAAGCACTTCAGACACTGATGACTGCAATTGGGGAAAATAAAAACAAAAAATAGCCGTGGAAATGGTTCAAGAACTCCTGCCAGTGTCCACGACTTTCCGGTACGTCACTATCGGAATCCGATTAAGGCGGCTTTTCACTGGACGGAGGAATCTTCTCTGCGTACCTTCAAAACAACATGGAAGATCAACGTTGTAGTGAACCACAGATTGCTAATAAACCCCAACGGCCACCACCACCTCTCTGGCTCAAATCGACAAACGTAACATTACGTTCCAGTCAGGCCGAGCCAAATAATCTCTAAATTAAGCCAAAAATAAGGGAACGGCCCGTTGCAAACAACGGGAGATGAAAGTATCAATGCTGGCCTCGTATGAGTCAAATATCATTTCAGAGTACGTCACATCTTATCTTGAACACATGAATGCAACTCAGAATAAAATAATATGGTCCAATTCCTATTGATCTGTGCCTTGCTAATGCATTTCAGGAGACCCACGTATATTTTTATAATATTGCATCATCTCGCAAGATAAAAAATTATCGCTTAAATTAATTATTTACGTGTTTAAGTGAACACTTAATAAATGCAACAATTCAACAGATTTTTTTTAAAAAAAAATAACTGAGTAATATCTGAACTTGTTCATATTTTAATAAATTACCGTGAAGTAAAAATAAATTGTCCTGATTTATAAATCCGCGTACCGCGATTTAATACGAAAAAGTAAATTGTAAATCTTGAAGTAAACGACGATTTAACTCGTGCAGATACTCCATTATTTTCCACAACACCTGATAACAAATGCTTAATCAATTTCGGAATCTATGGAGAGAATCTATGTAATTAATTCTTTACATTACAGTAATAAAGGAAATTTATTCCAAAGAAATATTGATATCAGTAAAGTTCGTAACAATCTTGATGGACAGATTAGAATTTACGTAAGTATGCTGTGAAAATGAAAGAAGACTTTTTCAGTGCGATTGAATCAAGTTCAATATTGTGTGTATGTATGTATGAAAGTGTGTGTGTGCTTCCAATCTTCTTCGCATATTTAAAGATTTCTAATGATGTTGCGACTATGCGTGGGTAGTAGCAATTTTAAGTCAGAACATGTACGTTAATAAAGTTATGACTCTTAAAAATAAGAAGGCATAAGATTAATCTGTTTTGTGGGCGCGGATAGTAGGACAGATCTTCTTGAAATCCTTACCATCCTGAGTTTCATTTAATTAATTATCGCTTTTTGTTCGAGTGTGTCCATGGTGAAGTAAGACTGAGGATATTATTGGTAAAATGGTAAAATACAAATATATTTGTAGTGATATCATTAAATATTATAGAATTTTATACAAAGGGGTTAGCATTCTTAAGATATTCCGTCAATAGGAAAGACATGCACCAACATGTACCAAATCTAACCGTAACTTAAGCATGTTTAGAAAAGAAAATCCTGGTCCAAATTGTGACGACAAACTTAGAAATAACTCTTTAGCCAACATAATTACCAAAAGATGGTAAAGTTGCGTCATATTGTGATATAATAAATATATATTGTTTAAATCTTGTCCGTCTAATCACGATAAATTCTTATTAAATATTAAAATATTACAATAATTAACATTTAAAATATTTAAAATATTAAATGATGTTCTTTATCCCAAAGTATATTTTATAATTCAAACTGTTACCGTCTTTCCTTGTGGTCGTGTGATTGGCCGTGATGGCTTGTGCACTGGTTAAGACATTACTGGTGAAATGAGCTTGCAGGTCATCAGCAGCAGTAGCGGCTACTCCATCAGAAGCCGAGGCTCCGAAACCATTTCCAGTGGCGGATCCATAATTACCCCCAGCCGTCACGTAGTTAGAATAAGCGTATCCTGTGGGGAGGCCACCCACCAGTCCTTGGTCGTTATAGTAATGGAGTGGTTGGTTGGCCAAGAGATAAGGGTGTTGTTGATACGGGTGTTCCTGAACTCCGACCGAACTCATCAGCTTCTTGCCTAAGAGGAACCCGGCCGCAAGGAGTGCTATCTTGCTGATCATGAGGGCCTTAAGAAGAAACAGCTTAACGGCAGTAATGGCGAAAATGAGGATCCCAGTCGACTTGAACCCCATCACAAGAGGAACAATGATCTTCCACATACGGCTGTCCTTCGCTGTAAGTCGCACAATGTACAGACTGAGTAAACGTATACTACAAATACTTGGAAAGTGAGTTAAAAGACTGAAGAAAATCAAGATGAAACCCCCAGTAAAGATATCCGATATCCGGGCTGAGATTTGTAGCCACGGACATCTTAATTTGGCCGCCAAGTTCTGTAATTGAGTCTGAAGGTAATGATTTTTGCAACAACTGCTGATGATATTAGACCTCGAAACACATGGGGAACACACAATTAAAGTTGGTTCAGTTCACCATTCAAAAATTCTGGGCCTCAAACATGCGTATGCCTCATGTGAGAACCCTTCGTGAATAATTCCTGTCTCTAAACAACCAATAGTAACTGGCATGCATGGTAGAAACTCGAGCCACTGCTATCAAGAGCTTGTTAGCACCTAAGCGGTTTTCCTGCACATCGACGTTCAAATTGTCAATATCGCCCTCATAACCACGCCAATTGCAATAATTTTTATCTACTCTCTGATATCTATGGATAAATCAGAGATTAACAGTGCGGTTTTGTTGAGATCTGGTCAGAGATGATTAATACGAATTTGTATAAGATAGTCGTGGCCTATTTTGAGGTATTATATCAACATTCACAATGAGGGGGAACATTTAAAGTTTCTGAAGGCGGCATATGGAAAAATTCACACCTCAGGCCATCGTACTCCTGCACAGAATTCCGGCATCTAAACTGTAGAACTAAGTACCTCCTACTGACCAGTTCACTCAGTAAGTTATTACTCTCAAGTTCAACTTTTAAGCTATAATTATTAACTATCTGTCGGCAATTGCAATTTAGTTACGTGCATCAGCTTTGAAATTGATAAAGAAACATGGAGACATTTTAGCATAGAATAAAAATATATGCACACATCTGTTAATTTCATAAATAACAAAATATGAAGATGGCTGTCTTCTGGGATATTTGGCCGTATATTTTGGTAGAAATTTACTGACGTTTCAGAGGTGCTTGCTGCTATGATTTATCACCTGTTACTGACCTCCTGGACCTCAGTGTGTATTTATTATATGAATCATCGGTAAAATTCTAAAAAAAGACTGTATCTCAAAACAACCCAAAATATAGCCATCTTTATACTCGCCGCTATGATAACCTGAAATTTCACATTATACACAGGTATAATATAATAGAAATCAGCGTCAATGACTTTTTAAGGCAGTTCTGCATTGGATCAAATCTGATATAAGCGATGTAATTTTAGAATAAACCTCAATTATATATTATTTTACCCTACAGAATATTATAAAATAATGGAATTGAGGTCAGTGGTGAAATATGGGGGTTGAAAGAAGCTATAAGAAGGGGAAACAAAGGTTTCAGATGAGACACCTGATGTATGCCGTAGTGATGAGGTTACTAGACGACACATGCAAGACACATTAAACATGTGTGTAGCCTAATTAATAACAGGAAAGAAAACGTAGGACACAACTGGATGGTTATATTCTGAAAATTGAAGATTAAATTTATTAGAACAAAAGTTTTAAATAAAAGAACAGTACCTGTAAAGAGAAGGACAGATCAACTATAAATGCCTGGAACCAGAGGAGGTCAAGGGACAATAATCTGCATCGCTGGAGAAAAAGACAGCAAACCCCATCTTGGAAATAGATTCGCAATTCATAGAATATATCATATGTATGTTATCTTATGTTCAAAAATATTTAAGTAATTATTCCAAATATATAACGATCTTTTGTATAACATAAGTAATTTGCTATGCTGTGAAATTCCACTTTTAAAACAACAGGATAAATATTTTTTCCTTTAATAAAAGAAGTGCAATATAGATCCCCGATTATATTGTAAAAGATTAACGAAAACAAATCTAGATATTACGTAAACTTGTGTTCGTAGTAAGAATTCTCTCGTCCGTAGAAAATGCAATGTAAATTACATTAAAATTACCATTAATATACGTACAAAGTAGATGTATATCTGAAACGTAATGTAGGTTCATGTACTTTGGGTATGGAGTAGAAATATTTTATTGTAACACTTACCCCTTGAATCAATATCGGTACTTCCTCGATTCGTATAAAAAATTATCTCAAAATTTTCCGGATTTTCTTGCGACCTTTCAATTCTAAGTGTCGTAAAATTCCACAGATTAATCCGAAGCGCATGTGTGCTGAGAAATTTTCCGATGTTCTCCACCGTCTGATCAACATCGCCATAACCTCGGCCTTGGCTCTCTTCTGCAGATTTAATTTGTACAGTTCCGTTATCTTCCACTGAAATGTTTGCTGTTCTCTCAATCACAGCCGAATCCGTGAGTCTGATCTCTTTTTTATTCCAAATATCCTTAAACGGTTCCAAAATAATGGCTTTGATGCATGTGATATTGGCAGTCGACCAACAGTCACTTGAATCGTCACTAGGCACTTCCTTTGCTTCGGAACCTTGAAAACCTTTTATTCCAGACACTAATATGATTAATAAAATGGCGAAGTTTAGAACAATCACCGTGTTTCTACATAAGCAGTTCATATTTAAATATTATTAACACTTTAGATAAAAAAAATAATTAGATTACAACTTCGTAGACTTTTGAAATAATTTAATACGTTTCAACACAGTATGTTATCGATAAGTTATGACGTCTTAATATCTCGAAATAAGTCAGTGTATATGATCGCCTTAGATAGTCGAAAGTTTGAATGAGACGTGTTCCTGTCAAACACAAAGGAGTAATAAGAATGAAGTAGTGTCGGATGAATCTCAAGACTTTTATTTCTTTTCACACAGTCGTGGTCATGAGTAGCAAAGCTAAACTCCCCCATGCAATAAAAATGTATGTCTTAGCAAACTCATTAGATAAGTAAGTCTCAACGCCTAGACAACTGCTCCATCACATGGCAACACGCAAAGGAAATTTCTTTCTGTGATCTAGCATTTTTGACAACCAGAGCGTCAAATCTCTCTTGATATAACAAGTTTCGCTCACGAAACTAGCAACTGAGTAATATCTCGATTCTATAATTACAATTATTTAAATAGTTATCATTCTTAAATACATTATATTAAATTGGGGTTAATTAAAAAAATTTCATTCATCTCAACTTTAAGTTCGTAGAGAAAATAAAATATCAGGCATCATTAGTGTGCAATTCGACGTAATATATCAGCCACTTATCAGATATTCTGGATTTGTTAGATAGTGGGGAGGAAATTGAGTCGTGTATAAGTTACTTAGGGACAGACTTTAAGAAACTTTATAACTCAGGTAAAAGTACGCTTATGCAGACTTAGAACACTATCATTTAATTAGTTAGATCTATATCACAAAATTAGTTAGGCTAATGCGGCTAACAAATGGGTTTAAACAAGCAAATAGTAATAATATTGTTTAACATTAATTTGGTTCAGTTCCTACTCAGAATTATCTGGAAAAAAAAACAGATTAAATATCTTTCCTATAGCTCTTAAAATTTACTAAACAACACGCCATTAGAAATTCTCAGGAAAGTCAGGAGAAATTGTAGTTAAAAGGGAATCTACATCTTGTCTAAGCTGATGACGTTAATAAAATTGGGCGACTAAGTAGGCAGTGTCATGAAGACACTACAAATATATATTTTTTTTAGTACATCGAAACATGTCGTTTCTAATATGAAGGTGCCAAAATGGAATGTAATATCGTAATACGATAAAAAGAGCACCAAAACATAACATAACGTATTTTATATATTTTATATTTATATTGTGAATGTTATAATATTTTAACAACTCATTTTAATAAGTTTGTGTATAGACGGCCAAAATAAATATGTGTACTACAAATATTGTTTTTCATAACCATTCTCTTTTAGAAGTTATTGTTGGTAAAGGAAAATAGACTTTTTTTTGAATAAAATATTTCATGGCTGCTTTGCTTTCGAAACAGTGCGTCACTGATCCATACCTCGATCCATGTTATTCAGTCCACAGTCTCACCCCCTAATTATTTAACATAACGTAATTTTATCTTACGTCTCCAAAGATGTCTACTTCCTTTATATTTTTGTTCCAAGTGAGATTTTTATTGTCGGTGAGTGGCGTCGAATGTTGAGAATTATCGAACGTTTTGGAAAAATTACAATTTCTTTTCCTCCTTGGTTTGAAATCTTTCAACATCTGGTTGAGAATGATAACCATGAATCTCCTCATTAGGGAGTTTGCTCCGGCCTGCTAATATTTGGTCGCTTAGATCAAAATATTCCCTTCAGCACCATAAAGGTGCTTGGTGCCCTAGGTGAACCTTTAGCATTCCACCTTCCTTCCAATCAATAAATAATGTGTTATAATATGAGTAAAAGTTCTGCATTTACAATTTTAGAGTCTGTTAACATGACATACGAAAATAATATAATACTGGATGTACATTTCTCAGACTTCACATAGAAAATGCAATAGAAAAATTACACATTAGAATTTAGGTTTATATTTTAATTTCTGTATGGTACCAAGTACTTTTGGCGGCATATTACAAAGTCGATTAAAGGCGAACACACATTTATTATTTACCAATGATTTATCTTTTTTATAATTACATTCTATTTTTACGCTGACTCCCCAATTTTGCCAGCCTAGGTGACCGCCTAATGTTCCTAGTGGATAAACCGACTGTGGTTTAGTAGCTGATTAAAAGATAAAATATTCTAAACAGTGCATATTAAAGATTTGTACAAATTCAAGACAGAGATTTCTAATGTGTTCCGGAATTATAAGGCAGAACCGAGATTTATGTTTGGTGATATGGAGTGGGAGACGGATGCAAAATCTTCACACATATAACGAAACCATGTTGTTTACAGCCTCGACAAGCTCTAGAAATCTTTATTCCTAAAATAAGTGATTACATAACCTCGTGCCTTCAATTCTAATGGAAAAAAAAAATCATGTATGTTTCTTATCGTAATTAGTTTCATCATATCATAGTTGCGTGGCTTCAGGTAGCTAATTGGCTTTCTTGATCGTCTAACCTCACACATAAAAACCATAAAGCAGGGACCATACACGTTATTACTTCCATTTGGTGTCTACATACGCGGCCAGGAACAACTTTTACGACAGCGACAATAATTTTAGTGACATAGTCAATATTATCTTCTCATTATATTCCTATCTCTAAGATTAAAGGCAAAATGATACGATGTTTTAGCGAGATTTTGATTTCGTTTCTCGTATTAAGTCATGTAACATCAGCCTATATTTTGGGTGAAAATTCAAACAATTCGGAATACGAAGTTCAACAAGGAACGAGTGTGTCTTCAAAATTATATGAACGATGTCTAAATATGGATACAGAAGCATGTCTTACTTATAAACTGTTAGATGCTGCAACGAATTTGTTTCAAAATACGACGATTATGAAAAATGATAATAAGACCGGAAATGGAAACGGAAGACAGGAAATTGGAGATCAGGTCGACGGTATTCTACTTCAGAAACTCCTGGAGTTTTTGGTACCTTCCTCCAAGTGGTTACCGTCAGATACGCCAGATGGGGCCAGACGTAAGTTAAAGAATTCTTTCAGTTTAGTATTTATTTTGATGTGTTCTTTGCATAATGGGCAAGTTTTTTGTTCCTATACTCTGAAACAAAACCTATATATACTACAATTTGTCGGGCGTATATAATTTTGATCTGAAAATATCTTTGACAACCAGTAATGGAAACAAAGTCCAATATTTCAGGAAGCTCATAGTACAAAATATGAATACACGAAATAAATTATATATTTCATTCAGATGTGTCTTTAATTTTTAAGATGTAGTTATACAATGCAGCATGTGTAAGCCTCGCAAATTTAAACAGAGACTTTTCCAGTTCTATGTGACGTAAATAGATATATTATATATATATGGATAAACATTACGACAAATGAAGCATGATTAATTGGGAATAAAACATGTTTACTAATATTAAGTACAATTTTTAATTCTTGGTCTGTATCTCCAATAGATTTATACGCAATTAAAACAAACTAAAATGTGTGTATTTTTAGCAGTTGACGTCCTTATTAAACATAAGCAATAAAGGTAAAGTTTCCTTCTTGGGTCTTATGAGGTAGCATCCGTTCTAGATGGAGGTAACGATACATAATTGAGAAATAAATACAGTCCACCTGAAAATTTAATTCTTCTAGTAAATCCTCCGTTGTATATGGAATTGATATTCTGTCATAATTTCACTTAATGGATAGGTTGAGTGTATGACCGAGAAGCCATACCCGTTCATATGTACAAATTCATCAACGAAATAGCCTAACGAATTTCGACCAAACTTCTTCTAGATTATCTATTATGAATATTGGCAAACAAGTTAATTATGTCCCTAGTCGAACCAAATTTCTGAATAGTAACAGTAAACACAACAAAGCTCAAAACGATATAAAACATGGATATAATTAATATCATGATGTTTTCATGAAGTATTTTTGGGATATGGTGTATATTTAAAGAAAGTGAAATTTGAGATTCTCTGGTTTGTACATTATTAAGATACATTTATTAATTAATTAATTTTAATTTACAGGGAACCTACGTCTCAAAAAGAGAATGTTACTCCCATTACTGATTGGAGTAGTACTAAAATTCGGAAGCCTGATTCCTGTAGCTTTAGGGAAATTAGCATTGGTTGGTACTATGGCTATAATAGCTAGCAAGCTGTCTCTTCTCTTAATCGGCATTGTAGGACTGAAGAAGCTGTTTAGCGGATCAGATGGCGGTCTTTACCAACAGGGACACCAATATCACGATGACAAATACGCGTACTATGGTGAAGGCGGACAACATGTTCACCAGAGGATGGCGTATCTCGTACACGGAAGGAAAATGGGCTACGAAGAAGATTGGCCTCCATCTGTCGAATTTGAAAGTAGAGGATTTGATACAGACCGCGACGAAGGAGTAGTTAACAATCTGAAGAGAGTCGATGGAACTAGTGAAGAAGAAAACTGGGTCCAGTCTCCCGGAACTGAAAGCGAAGATGACGTTGAGAGAGTATCGGAATTTATGTACACAACAGAAAATGAGAACATAGGAGATTCTCAGACAAATTTACGGGAATCAAAGATGTTCAAATTAGCAGATCACAGTTCAATCACCAGAGTGATGAATTCTGAAACAGAAGTAGGAAACAAAGGAAACTTACATAACGAGAGAAGACAGCTGATACATCGAGGTATAAAAAGCGAAACAAACCTGACACAATACACTTCAAATTCGAGTACCGTGAGGCACGGAGACAACGGATCCGTTACACATCACGAGGCAAATTACACGAGTGACAGTGCACATCCAAGTGCTGTGGGTCATTCTACGATCGGTAAAAATGATAAAAACTTTGTTGAGAGTACTGAGGGGGGTACTGGGGAGTTTAAAAATCAAACTACTCTAGAGAAAGGAACACGAGATAAAGTCGTTCGTCTGGTTAAACGACACTATACGGGAGATATGGATGGACAGGATCATTACAGAGTCTTCAGCGCCGGACGGAGGAGACTAGACGAGGTCGAAGGAGAACATGTAGATGCGTGGGCGATTCGCAGAAAAATAGATCGGGTGTAATTGAGTTAAGTTATTTAAAGATATTGAATCAACATGTAGATGCATTGGCGATACGCAGAAAAATAGATCGGATGTAAATGAGTTAAGTTATTTAAAGATATTGAATATTTTTTTAAAAAAAAAAATCGAAAAATTGCGCAGTCCACCTGCAAAAAATGTTTGAATGATAGAGTGGTATAAGTAATCCGAAACACAGATGCATGTGTTGCATTAGTTAATTCGCACAATAGCAGGTTCTATTCACTGTTTGAGTGCATTTTCTGATACTCCCGTGAGGTATAAAGCGGCAATGTTTACTAATAACATGAGTCCGTAACAGGGAAGCAGGTTATTTGCGTTACAAAATAGGATAATTATATTTTGGTGTTTAAATTACGGCTTTTGGTTACGTCGGAATTTTATGATCACGGATCAGACTTATGAGGATTATAAAACGATTAAAATCAGCTTAAAAGGACATACGTTTCCACGGACACTTCTACACGTAAAATCCTACTGACGGATTTCTTTTCATATGATTACAAGTTTAGTCCGGATAAATGCGTTGGTAATTTATGAAAAAGTTAATTTATTTTGAGGTTATTTATGAATATATCAAGTTATTCCATGCCATATTATTTACCTCTTTATGATATATAGGAGTCTCCAGTCAAGGAATGAGCGGTAGACCCGAGATATTTTTCACTATAAAATCGGTTATGATCACTTAGCAGTTAAGGGGAAACACAGAAATTGATAACACCGAACGAATGTTTTTATAAAGAAGATATATTCTGTTGTGAATAAAACTGCAAAGTTATGGTGTTTAATACATGTAAATATTTACTACATGAACAAGTTATAACACTTCAAACATTTTAACGTGAGTTTTAAAATAATTTTCACGTCTTATTAATTATATCATAAGTTCCATAAGAATATTAGAAGGCTTCAGAAATGACAGATTTTGCTGCATATATATTAAATAAGTCAACCAACACAGTTGTGTTGATTTTGTGAAATGACTAACTCTAATTTGTAAATTACATTGAAACGTCTATTAAAGTTTCGTTTCAAAAATCTTCGTATATTCATCTAGTGACTCGAAACAATTTAAATAAATTCAACAAACAGTTATTAAACTGAGGTTAAAATACTATACACGACATAAGTGTATTTCTTTATTACTTTAATATTACAAAAATGTATTGCTATTTATTTCAATTTATTTATGTAATTTATTTATGAGAATTTTTGGGTTATTATTGTATTAAATATACATAAATAAAACAAATTATTAATTGTGTTTCTGGCCTTATTTATTTTATACATATACAATTTTACTTACAACGTAAATAACTGAATAATATTTATGTGTCTGAGAAAAGAGTGCTTGAGATAATATTTGCATCTAAAACATAGAAATCAGCGGCGGAACGGAGAAAGGTAGAATACAGAATGCAATGTTAATCACAAAGGATGAATAGGTAAGGATCACTAAAGACGCGCTCCTAACCTATTTCAAGTTATTGTTAACTTATATTGTCCTACATAATATCACTATATTCACAAAAAGGAACTTATCCTGTTTATAATTCAAGTGGTGTATACACATACTCTAAATGGACCTGTATACTACATAGACATCGATGCAATTGAGATAAAAACTTTAAAGTTCAGAATTTCAGCCGATTTATTATTGCATATGAGGGAAGAACTTAGATTGAATAGGTCTGAATGAACCTTACGAATAAATTTTGACGTAAGAAAGAAAGAAATCGAGTAAGAAAAAACTTGAGGTCTTCAGAGTTGGAAGCTATTAAGACGAACGGATAGACGGATTCCTAACTTCGAGCTTACAAATTCTCACAATACCACGTATACCTTATTTGAAACTATAAAATGTTTCGGTAGAGATACTTGGTTTATAAATGTTGGAATTATATTCATACGGCAGTGGAACGTAAACCACTAGGTTAGAAATATTACTTATTCAATTAAAATCTTAGTTAATCTAAAGAAATAACAAAGAAAACAATAAAATACAGTATTCTGGAGGCTAAAAATAAGTTGTTAGAATATAGTTTAAGATTTCTAAGGCCTACTCGGAGACACCTAACACACTGCCACCCTATCCATTAAATTGTAATATAAATGTTATCTTCATCTTTGACAACAGAACATTTTGTCTCTGTATGCCGTGTACATGGGTGTATAGTTTAATCAGAACGGGATTACACATTTATTAACCACTGAAATTAATCATATAAATTAAGATATTCCAATAACAGAAAAATTTAACATCTCTTAAACTGTAAATAGTCATTTCTTATGTTAGATAAGAATATACAATACAGGCTTTTCAGCGTTCGTTGTAAGTTTATACTCAGGCATACGTATTTCGACTTAAGTACTATAAAATAAGTGGAGACTTTTAGCCCGTTATATAGGTTTAAGTAGAAACTTCAGGACTTGCACAGAACTGTTAGGACAGTCACAGATATTAAACTACGACTCGCTAGACATCCTGTTAGAAAAAATTGAGGGAAGATATTCACACAGCAAAGGGGCTACCAACCTTTCAAGATCTGTAGTAACATTTACCCTTTCTCACAAACCCGAAAGCCGCTGAGTTATAAATTATAAAAGATAAACTGAAAGTTTATCGCAGTTTATAAAAAAAAATGGTATTAAATTACCATTGCAAACACGTTCACACATTAAGACTTATCTTGGAGAAATAGATTATGGGCAAGGCGATTGGAAAGAACTGGCAGAGGTTTGTTTATATAAGTGGGGGATAATATCTTTTACCACACGAGAAGATAAGTATATTAATAAACACAGCAAATGTGCGTGTATTTATGTCATTTTTGTGCGCATATACTCCTGCGAAATGTCGGCAGATTGCTTGTCTGTGGGTAATCCGCTTTCCGTCATTTACATTAATCGATTATCGTCTCGTCAATCTGGGACAGGAGGAATGCATTACCCTAGATTCTGTGTCCAGATCAGATGGCCAATTATAAAAGTATGTCACGTGTAGAAGCTTTTACGCAACTTCTGAAAGAACCCTTTTCCGAGGCGAAGGTTTGTGAAACCAAAAATGCTGGCGTAATTCTTGAAAGTTTAGTCTGGTTGATTCCTAGTGCTGCGGTCGCGACTTCGATTCTCCGTCTTGAGGCCAGATATTGACTGGATGTAATAGTTCACACAACTGTCCAGAGACGAACAGACCTAATGCTAATGACCTTATTCGGATTATTATTAAAATTGAGATGGTTTTTGTATTTTTTTTTTTTTTTTTAGCCTGTAACCAATTAAAACTCAACAAGGGATTGACAGTTTCTTGGAGAACAGAAATGCGAAGATGACAAAGAAATGTCACTCACATTTCTGTTCTATTTCTTCTCCCCGTTCTCGTAATTCCCCTCCATCTCATCCTGAAAATGAATTTAACATCCTTTTTCTACTTATTTTTCTTCTAGACTGTTCTCCATCCTTAGATGAGTATTTACGGCAGAATTTGCCACTAAGTGCGTCTGTTCACAGTTTGCCTTCTGAATTTTATATTTTCAGTTTTCTTGTTATTTTTCCATTCTTATTCTTCTTCTTCTTCCGTTTCTTCTCATTCAACCTTGGTTCATTTCTGAGTAAAAATAATTCGAAAAACGTACAGCACAAACATAATCACGCAGTATGAAATTCAAACTCGTGTTAATTTAATAATACATTAAATAAATAAAAACCATCAGAAACTGAATAACAGTTTGCCAAGTGTCGAAGGGAGAGAGAGAAAGAGTGAGAGAGTATATGGCCTGTTAAGGAAAGAGGGCCATATTTTGATTCATTCTTAGGTTATTTAAAGATGTTAGTTCATCTTCTGATGTTACATAAAATATAATAAGATGAGATGATGATGAAAACTGTTAAGTTGACAGGAATTTGGAAGGAGATGGTAATACATTCCTTCGAAATAATAAACCGTCATATGCCGGGACCATTTAGAAAAATCAATGACAAACTGAGATTTGAATAGCGTATCTATGCCTACAGTTGTAAAATGTACCGCTATACTAACCTGCTCGGGAGTGTTCTGCTTACAAATTACGTAGGCATATCATCTCAAAAATGAGTACAGTTGCACATCTATAACGGGAATAGACTTTCATCATATATTTGAATTTATATTAACTTCCTACTTTACTTACCGAATCCCTTTCGTCAGAAGATGTTATTTAGGGCTCTATGGAATGAAACGATAATCATACGGAGAAAATATACCTGTCTCAAGTAAACACTCTCTGAGGAAAACAACGAGAAACGTAATCAGGATATCAAATGTCTAGTTCGAGATTGGAGTACCTGTCTGAAGATACAACATGCAAGTTGCTAACTGCATTTCTCTGACTTTCCCAGATGGCAGTTTGAGTTATGACGAGATAGAATAATTATGTACATAGTGGCTTACACATATGGCGCAGGATTGGAGCAAACCCACTTATAAAGAAACCGACTCTCGCTATCCATATGGAAGTGTTTGACGAACTGCAGCTGTCCAATGCGCGCTAACTGTGCCTATTCTGTACGGTGATAGCCTAAATCCTGCTACCAAGACTTACTTATTTATCAAATCCGACTGTTTAACTGATCAACCAAATAACTATATTAACTCACCACTTAATTACCCAACTAATGAAGTAATTGAACGAAAACTCGTCAATCTAACAAATAATGTTATTATTACATTAACAGACTCGTTACAGAACTTTGTAACTAACTAACAAACCTACCAATTAACTAAGCATGGAACTATAATTATATAAAGCAGAGTTATTCTATCAACGGATATCGATAAAAAAATTATTTTAATGTATTTCGCTTAATATTCACAGCACTGATAGATATTTAAAATAAATGTTGTAGATATATAATTGTCATATCCCTTATTTAATTAGCCGTTTGAAAACATTTCTAATTCGATATAATACGTAATTCGATCGATATGAACTATGATTAAATTTGCCTCAGTTCATTGTAGACCTTTAATACGTAACTCAGTCGAAATTTGTTATATGGTTCCCAAGCTAAAACTTACCTACGGACGGACGGACAGACACGACCACCTCGTTATGTGTTCATTTATGATCTGCGAGAAGAAAGGCGCAAATACGAAACCATCTTTATTAATTAAGGAACTGACATAAGTAGCCACATCTGAAGCGCCGCTAAAGAAGCTGGACATTCCTCTTCATTTTTTCAACCGTCCTGCGGTGAACAGCGTATTCTGGTTCAACAGTTGCGCGCTCTAGTGAGTCGCCCCCTTTAAGGTACGAGTGCACCGTTTTGTCGCCCTTGCAAACAGAATCGTGTTGGTCTGTTTTCACCCATTCACATTTAAACTAGTTAAAATAGCGCGTTCTTCGTAGCTTGTGATATGAAAATGCATTTAACGCTCTTAATGCTACGAACGATACATTAATTAAATCCCGCACTTTTAATTACGTATGATGATGATAATAATTCACTAGGCGAAAATATTAAAGCGAATTTTTCCAGCGAAGTATCGAACCCCGGACATTTCCGAATGCAGACATCCAGGCGATATGAGTTAATACGTTTTGCTAGGCTTAACTACCACTTTGTAGTCGATACAAAACTTAATTCGCCCAGCAAAAGTATCACCCTCTACCTTCTACCTAAATTCTTTCTGTTTCTCTCCCTCTATCTTCAGTTTTATCCGTTTTCTTTGTCAGTTTTTATGGCCTCTTCACATATCTTAATTCCTGTTCTCTTCCTTTCTTGGTTCCTTTTATATTTTTCTATGTTTCCTCTATTTTCATCATCTTCTATTTTATCTGAACATGTCCGGAGATAGGGATTAGCTCTATCTAGTAGGCCCAACTGAGTAGGAACCTGAAGACGGAGATAGAGCCCCATCTCCGAAACGTCGTTTTTACGTTTTTTACGTTTTATATTTACTAGACGATGGATAATATCCAAGTAAATTTTTATTCAATTGACTCTTCACCATCGTCAAGAAGTTTTAGATTTGATGTCATTTTAAACTTATCGTATTTCAGCTTTTTCTCGTTTTTATCTCTTTTCCTTTTATTTATTATTTTCTCCTGTTTTTCTCTCATTCCATTTCCACTTTCCCTTCTTACTTATTCTTGTTACCCAATTTTATATTTCTTTATTCGTTCCTTACTTGCTCTCTTCTTTTCATTTTACGAGGAACATAACTGTGTTTGTTGCCATGGACACAATGAAGCCATCCTTAACGCAATGCAAATACTTGGTCTCCCTACGTTGTACTCCATCTTGCAACTTTTTGTACGAGTCATCGCAGATTATTACGGTTCGTACTTTGCTTCTTTTGTGTTCACAAAATCAAAAACACTTTGTATCTTATTATTTTGTTTGTCGAGATCACCACGCTCCATTTAAAGGAACGTTCATTTGTTACCCGAGAAACGGTCCTGCCAGTGAGAGGACGCTAATGTGTTCCATCGAAAAGCAGCCCCCCACTATCTCATGGACTTTCTTATATAAGACAAGCGAACAACTATATAATCTCGGACATTCCTCGTTGCATCAGGTTATCTTATTCAATGTCTCGCTATTAAAGGGTGTATTTTAATATATCAGTGTACTCGGACATTAAAATTATCTCATATGATCTGTCGGTATATCGAGCTGTGAACTCCTGTGGATTTGTGTCTCAGAAGGATTTACTATAAGCTCATCGATATTTATTCCACTACTAAACATTTAAATAAATTCGACATCTGACACCACTCAACAAATAAAAGAGAAGAAGATGTCTGCTTGCAAAGCCATTAAGCAAATTGCGCTGTTAGCAGTCTCCTGTGCGTTGGTCAGTAGTTACATGGTTGAGTCACAGAATCAGTGGACCAAAAGTGTATCAGGAGACGGTAACAACATTGCAGACGATTTGAGCGAAACAATTGAAAATCTTTCTGGAAGTGTTAATATCTATAGGGGTGTTGCAGGAAGTTTAAGTGAATCATGGAACTCATGTCCAGATGATGAGGAACTCTCAAGGAATTCCTCCATCACCTGCCACGGAGTGAAGATTGTGAGAAGAGTTATGGCACAGTTGCTGGATAGTCCTAGGAACTTTCAGCTGACAGACGGGGTTCAGCTGGTCAGGATAGCCACTTCAGATTCCGGAGAGGTATCCTCAGAACCAACCTTCAGAAGTCTGCAGAAGGATAACGGGAGTTTACTGTCGAGGGCCAAGAAGTTCCTCAGTAATCATGAGCTCAGGATACGACTACCGGATCTCCTTCCTTCCAGCGGGGAGTGGTCGCGCATTCTAGAGCAGCTCGGAGCCGACAAAGAAGGTGAGTCAATAACACCCAATAGTAATACTTTAACAACTCTTTATCAATTGCTTTGGTGATTGGTCCTTAAGCTACGTGAAGGTGAAGGCGTAGTTCGAAGTCCAGAGGTCCCGAAGGCCGAGTCAATTGGCAGGCGAGTAGGTTAGAATTTGGAAGTTGTCAATCGCGGACTATTTGAAGATACTATCATCATGTCGATTATGGTGTTCTGGGTTATGACACGGTGTAATCTTGTTGGTCCTTGCCAAAGTTTCTGAGAAACTTATTGCCTTCATCTTCAGCGTAAAGAAGGTTGGTAACCACCTAGACCACAAGTCTCAACACAGAATAATACGATCAAAATTTTCACCGTCATTAAAACATAAAATCTCAGATATTAACAAATTATTCGCATTAACTGAATATAAGAATGCTACTTTTAAGAGTCTTGGCCATTCGCTGTTTAAGACTCTTAAACGTAGCGACACCAAAGTGTTCAGTTGGTAGTGTCGGATAGTAGAATGAAAATGACTGATAAGCTTTGGATGGCTTACAGAGGATTTAAGTTAACTAAACTGGTTATACATGAGTGCCAACATACTAACTCTATAAAATAATCCCTTTTTTCAGAGACTAATAGTCGCCCAGTTAGTCAATAAATTCCCCGTCTTTTATAGAACCAGAAATTTAATTAACATCTACATAAGAGCCCTCATCTGGTCATATCTTGAACCAAATCAATCTATTCCATAGCTTGCCAGTTTATAAAATACATTCTAACTGAATTAAATGAACCTAGTCCAATTTTTGGAAAAGTTATATCCTTGACAACGGATGATTGCCAAACAGTTACACAGCCGTGAGTAGATTTTTGAATTAGGCACTGGAATTTCCTACATACGAGTTACATGGCTGTACGACAGTGGCCTGGACGCCATAGCTTTGTTTGTGACACTGGGGTGAACGGTGTGGATGTAAGGTCGTGGTTAAATAGGTCCTGAAGGCTTCTGAAAGATATGTTAGAGTCACACTTTAATTTCGGAGGGAAATGTACTCGTATTTAAAAATAATTGAATTTTAAAAGACAGATTTAAAATCTATTTCATTTTTATTTATGTTTTGCAAATAATTTCTGTCCTTTTCTGATATCAAATAAAATATTCAGAGGATAGAATAACAGCAGTGAGTTCACAGGCACATCAGCTCGTCGAAGGATGTAGGAATTGGACTTTTTTAATAATATTCTATTTAATGTATGAACCATCCAACTATATTTTGATTAACAATTTGGGCACAGACACTCTTTGAAATTATCACGTCTGTTAACTTTATTATTGACTGAATTAATCAAACTGTTTAAAATTCTTTGACCAAAGGCGTGCCAGGTTGAACTTGGTAAATCCCATGAACAATTATCACACCATAAAAGTTGCGTATGATTCATTGGAAACCAGAAACTTGTATAAGATTATTAGGTTGAAGATGATTGTAATGGATTCAGTGATTCGTGTAAAATTATTCCGTGACGGATAAATTTATAACTGACTAAATAGAAGGTACCCGTGTAAAATTATCGTATGCTCTTTCAGCGTGTAACAGGCTCAATATGCAAATTCGTGTCAAAACTCTCCCAAGGCGGATGACTGTACGGATGAGCGAATTAAGGAAATTAACTCAATTCACCAGTCTTTCTTGAGAAGCTTATAGTCGTTTAGTTAGTCAAGATATTATCTTCAGCCACATGAACCCACTCCAGACCGTCCAATCCTGTTTAATTAAACTTTATTTTAATATTATCATTCCATCTTCCGAGAAGTCTGCTCTCGTCGGACTCTCCGATAAACAGTTTGCAACCACCTCTCATCTCCCACATGTTTGCCATTTTTTCCGCGATCTAATCCTTCTTGACTTGGCCATTCTAATAATATTTGGTGAATAATGAACTTTTCAAGGTCATTATTATGTAACTTTCCCCCATATCCCGTCGCATCATCCAACAAAGCCTAGACGTTCTTCTCAGAACCTTGTTCAGAAACATCCTCAGTGTTTGTTCGTCCCTTAATGTGACAGTCAAAATTTCACTCCCATAAAAAACAACACGTAACTCTAATATTTGCATTTCTTGATGTCAGACGAGGAAAAATCTAAACTGCTTAGTAGGAAGTATTTGCTGAATGTTAATTGGTCCTTTGTGATCACAGCATTGCAAGCCCGCATTTTACGAAAAGTGGATATAGCCTTCACATGTCGAAGACAGATAAAAATATACATTAAAGTGATGTAGAAAGTCCAGTTGGGAATTATTATTATTTCAGGACTTTTGTGAACCAACTTAGTACTTCTAAAAGCTGCCTAGATGTAGCAGCCCTTATAAAATGAAACTTTTCCATTTATTATCATTACTGAAAACTCTCCACTGCTGTGCTACGTCAACATATTCCTCGAGGTCTGCGATTCCTTTGGGAGGGAAACCAAACGCGATAATACTAAACTTCCTTTTGTTTTAAAAAGTCACGGACAGCCGATAAAGGGTGGTTATCCACCTTCTGAGATGGATAAGGGGCTATCATCATATATCTCACTGTATAAAACCAATGTGTGATTAAATTCTAGAAAGAGCTTCAGACTTGGATCGATTCTTCGGAGGGGCCTAAGAAACAGATATAGTAATGTAGGATTTGAGGTTTTCGCAGCGGTGAGTCTGAAGACTGATGTCTTCCGGGTTGTTGCGCCGTGTAGTCTGGTCGATGTTAACCAACGTTTCAGAGGTCATACTGCCTCCGTCATCAGGGCAGTGAGTACGAAGATTTCTGTCTTCTGGGTTGTTGCGCTGTGTAGTCTGGTCGATATTTACCAACGTTTCAGAGGTCATACTGCCTCCCTCATCAGAGTATGAAGATTTCTGTCTTCCGGGTTGTTGCGCCGTGTAGTCTGGTCGATGTTAACCAACGTTTCAGAGGTCATACTGCCTCCCTCATCAGAGTATGAAGATTTCTGTCTTCCGGGTTGTTGCGCCGTGTAGTCTGGTAGATTTCCACCAACGTTTCAGAGGTCATCAGCAAACTTCAGATACAGGAAGCCCGAACACAATTTCACGTAAAATTCTTACACACATGTGGTCATTTGTTGCAGGTTCCAGTGCCAGGAAGAAAGACAAAGGAGGTAACGGAGGGTTGCTGGCTCTTGGTCTCATGATGAAAGGCATGTTGACCGCCCTGGGTTTGGGCGGACTCGGGCTACTGGCAATGAAGGCTCTGATGGTCAGTGCCATGGCCTTGCTGCTCTCCGCGGTCATCGGAATCAAGAAGCTCGCCTCAAAGGACGATGACCACGGGAGCGGTCACGTTGTGCAGGTCGTACCAATGCACTCCGGCGGTGAACATGGACATTACAGGAAGAAGAGATCGTCGACAGATGGCGATGTCGACGACCCAGCCTGGTTAGCCTATCGAGGCTACAAACACTTGTTCATGCAACCTTAATATAGTTGCTGTATCATAACGCTAGGTTAAGGTCAGGACCACATATTTATATGTATTTTACAAACTTAAGTAGGACTGTCAGTATAAAGTAAGGTATCACCTGAGCTGAGGTTTCGATAACTTCAAATGCTTTGAAATTATTTTTTGGCATATTTACGCCGTGCGAAAATAAGATAATTATAAAGTTGGTAAATTATTTAAATCGGCGAGTGTATAATCTATGAGTATTTGTTAAAGTGTTTTGTAAAACTGTATCACCGACATATGAAATTAATTAACGTGTACCAAATAAATGGGGTTTAAGAGTGAAAACTGAGTTCAAATGACTTAGAAGAAGCCCAGTGACTGGGGCTTCTACATATGGTAAATAATCTTCGGATAAATAGGATTTTAGGTTTCCTCAGCGGTGAGTCCGAAGATGGCTGTCTTCTGGGATGTTTCGCCGTGTAGTCTGGTATAAGTTTACCGACGTTTCAGAGGCCCTTTCTGCCTCCATTATCAGGGCTACGCACGGCGCAACATCCCAAGAGGCAGCCATTTTATAATCTTCAGATTCCATAAATAAATGTAACTTTATTTACAGACTGAGCGACTGTCAGCTTCTCAAAAATTAATATACCACGGAGTTAGTCACTCAGAAAGTTAATGTCAGTATAATTTAAAATATATAGGATTATGAAATTCCTTATTAATTTATTGTTAGTCACAGAGCACTGAGAACATATTTTTTTTTGTCTTGGTGATAAACATCCTGCTTATGAAATTTCTTAACACCGTTATTAATTTATACTCCAAATTCAGTTCTGTACTAAATTTCATCTCATGATTTTATAATTAAAACCGCTTTTAATTTTCGAACTTTTTCATGCAACAAATGAGACAACTTGTTCTAAAAGACTGACTATATACGTCCTTAATATCTTAAACGTCTGGCAGTACCAATAATAATAAATTTGGTGCCCACCTCTTAATAGACTAATTTAGCTTATACGAGTTTCTCATCAGCTCTTTAAGACGAAAATACTACTACTGAAACAGGCAACAACCGCTTCTTCACCGAATGTTCCAGTAAAAATTTATTTTCTTCAATTATATCATAGAGACTTTTTTTAAAAAAAAACTTTATAAAGTACTTGGATCATCAGTACAAATTACCATATTTCCCGAATACAATACGTACTCAGATTTTTGCAAGGCTAAATTAGAAATCAAACATTCCAGTTGTACAAATTTACTTGATAAATTCGAAGTAATTAAACAATTATTAGTTTTTATAAATATTCCAGTGAAATGTTTACGTGTTAATAATAAAATTAACTCTTATAGAAGGAACATTTCGGGACTAACTTTTAGTAAAACTTCGTAATGATTAAATTTAGCAGGGGCAAAAAAGTTCTCAGTTAATTCTTTGTATTGTTTTGAGTGAAACATGTGCAAGATGTTAATTTAAAGCTATTCTTGTCCTACGAGCTCACAGACTAATTAGTTATCACGTCGCAATCTACTGACCTACTTTATTATGCTACTAGTTCCTAAAATACAATGAAGCATAACAAGTAACTAGTTTCTAATCAGACAGACAGACACACATCAGCCTATTACTCATCTCTCGGACCAAGGGAGCAGCGGAAAAAGTCATTATAAACGCCGTAGAAGACAGTGCTAACTACAGATAAGACGTGCTATTTAAAAAATTATCCCAAAATTATCACGTATTACGATACAAAAATGAAATCAAAATTAGATCCTCCCCCTCCCCCGTTAATAGACCCTCCCAACCACCCCTTGACATTAGACAAAAGATATATTCCTGTACTTCAGTAGATGGTGGACATATTCAGCATCTGCTATAAATCCACTCTGTAAGTTCCTCCTAACGAATTCTGGACGACCGGGGTTCGATCCGCGATAGGGGCATAGAACGTTTCCTTTAGCTTCTGTGTCCAGATCAGTTCTGGGCCCCATCCAGCATCCTGGTCAATGAGTACCGGGGCCCTTTTCCTGAGGGATAGCTCGGCTGAGGCGTGATGCTGACCACTCACCCCCATCTATTGACGAGGTTAAGAAATAGTAAGAAGTATATTATCTCTCCCCCAAGCGCCTACATGGCGCATACTGAGACAGCGTTACTTTAATTTTACTTGTTAAATTGTTGTTATCAATTCTTACAAATGCTTTTGTATTTCGGGTTGAATTTAATATTCTATCTGCCACTCTCTCTATATACAATATTTTTATTTTATTATATAACTCGGTACAGCGACGAATGAAATAGGAAAATAATTATGAATTATACATTCGTAACGATCTGGAAGAAAGTTAACGTGGCCTATTTGAAGAATTACACCAGCATTCTGCTTGAGATACGAAGAATAAAATACGAGAATATAACTCGTAATATTAAAAATTCAATTTCGTTACACCGTGCTGCTCTCTGAACAAATAAGTATTATAGTTCTGTTCTTCAAGATTTAGTAACACTTTGTGAAAACTACTTTTTGTTGGTAAGGAGAACAAATTTTAAATGGAATATGTGAAAACGCGGATAAGACATCCTCGCGGTCAGTCCTCTACGAGACGAGATAGCACACGTTTGTATACGAAATTGCAAAAACCAACGACAATCATTCTCGCGATACGACGAATGGTCATCCTTACGCTTCTCAGCTTCTGATAAACGTCGCAGAATTAGGTCAATGAAGACAGAGAAATAGTTTCTGATCTTGTAACACCGGTTTCTACTTCCTCGCATGTGCCACAACAGCAGATTACTGGAGCAACAAGTGACCACGACTTTTTTTAAGGTCAGTAGCACGAGCAGAAAATGCTGAATGTTTTCGAATAAAAGCGACATATGTCGACCGCTGTCCAGCTTAGTCGCAAGCAAATGTTTTTTTTTAAAAAAAAATAAGCTGTGACCAATTAATTTTTATTCATTCAGTGCACGAGACTATTATGAAGTGACCGTAGGCCGGAGAAACTCACGAAAAATATATATATATATATATAGTCAAACTGTTAAATAACTATAATTATTGCCGCCTAATAAATATAGGCTATCGTGGAGATACACACAGTCGATTCTTAATTCGTTAGTTTACAACTGGTACATAAGTTTGTAATCTTCTTCACTCGGAATTCGGATAGGGTTATTTGGCGTTAAACATCTTGCAGAATCTGGCAAGAAAGATTCAGAAAGGTCCAGAGAAATTCTTAAACAATTATCAGTTTTTCGATGTGATTCAACATAAATCAATACATATAAAATTGATATTATACCTAACCCGAATAATATATTTTAAACTCTGATTAATATTTTTAAGAAAACCATTAAGCCGAATATGGATTAGGTTTCATTCGACCTTCTCATGTCAATTTGTAGATATAGTGAATAAGAAACCCTACATAGAAACTCTTAAATTTAATTACCTTCTAAAACATTTATCTTAATATTGTTTCCCCAATTCTTTCGATTAAGAGATTTCTTCGTTCACAAGAAGTAAAACATGACAGAATGCTGTACAAGATTCAGATTCCTATGTCATATATTGACAATAGGTTATATTAAATCCTGATCTATAACATTCTCCAATTATTGCAGTTCCTTCCGTGATTTTAATGCGTAATTGTAAAGCAATCCATACGAGATAAAATAATGCATAAAGCCACTTACCCCCACCACCGTTACAAAGCTACGCAACCATGTATACTTTAATGCATAAAGCGACATATTTTACAGTTAAAAGACCAACAGATGCAGCGTTTACAACAGTAAATACCAAGAAATACGTGTGAAGTAATATCGTTTTGGTACCAGAATCTGCATTTAATGATAATAAAGAAGATTCAATGACTGTTTCTTTCTCTGCACCAACTTTACAGAGCACAGTTATTGTTTGCATATTTTAAGAGCTTAGATTCTATTACTCATGTAAAGGAGTGAAATAACACATACGTAGTTAAAAAACAGGTCCAGATATGTGATATGTGAAATTAACTTTGTCATTGTTTAAGTATAATTTACGTTAAGGAATAGCTCGTGCGAGAAACAGGCGCTTTGGCTATCATAAGAACTTGAAATACAAACCGTGGGCTGTGTACCGTACGAACCCATCTCACATTTAAACGAATATACTTACACATAAACCCTATGTCTGAGTATAAATGCGTCCTGCATCTCTAATGAGTCTACTTCGTCGACTCCCCACCTAATTCTTCGTCGGATGCAGGGAAGTAGGTCAGACGATCTGAGACAACTAGCAACCGCATTCTTAAACTTTACTTTGAGTCAAGAGAGACTGATGTGTGTCGTTTCAGTGTGGCATATGGGAGGACGTTTAGTCACTTGAAAGATGGACCCGGGTTCAAAAATCAACAGCAGAGACCAAGAATCCTGACGTAGGATTTAAATCGTTGTACTTAATCAAGGCAAATGATGGAAAAAATTTAAAAAAATACCCATGTGCTTAGTTAAGCATCAAGCCACGAAAATTTAAAAGTAGTCTGCAGCTTTAAGCTTTCTTAACCTCGACATTAGGTGGATCTGTGTGGGCAAATTCAAGCCCCCGGCAGATTTTCGTTAGGGAAATAGACCCGGTAGCCACTAGCTAAGAGACTTGGTGGTCCCAAAACCGGGTTGCGTGGCATGAGAAAATTACATGCTCCTGCAGGAAGTATAGCCTGGATATTTACCGACTGAGATACCTGAAAATCTGTGATTCAATTCATGACCTTTAGAGTTCGTAAATCATAATAATTCTCTAATTTTATAACATTTAATCTCTGCTATAGACAAGACGTTATTACATGAACCAGTTCTTATTTTCTCATGATGGACTATTCTTCTTAAGCTAAACTGCAATTTTATCACATCTGTGTTCTCCAGAAAGATTTCGCAAATTCGGGGCATTACGTTCATTGCAGTAAGTAAATTAAACACGAATGAACTTAATACCGAAACAGAGTACGATTGTATATCAAATCTAAAACTTCTTGACGATGGTGAAGAGTCAATTGAATACAAATTTTCTTGGATATTATCCATCGTCTAGTAAAATATAAAACGTAAAACGACATGTCTTCGATACAAAAAATGTAACAAGATGCAGTGTCTACTGAGAATGTTATAATTTTAAATAATTTTAAACAACATTATTTTAAGTTTGTGTACAGACGGAAAATAAAAATATTGTATGGAAAAATTTTCAACTGCAAATTGTATCCTGTATAACGTAACATGGTAAAATGACCATGGATGTTGAGGACACGACAGGTCTGCACACTGCCAGGTTCGGTAGAGAAATGTGAAGAATCCGATTACAATATTCATAACACATTGGCAGAAACAAGTTGCCGGGGGCGACTTGGAGGCCAATGACAGTCACTGGATCTTGTTCACCGGATAAACAAGCCAAATATACGGCCTTGTACAAACAGTATAAAATAAAATATAACATGTGGAGGCGATATGTACACTTTTATCCGTCTGTATGATTCATCTGCATACATTCCAGGGCATCATACAATGATCCTATCACTCAGCGGTTTTATAACCTGTCTCCATGCTGAACAGCCTTGAGAAGCTACCAGTTGTTCCGAAATTACTTTATCACTGACAAAATCACGAACTAGATTAATCAAATATAAATTCTCACGCCATATTTCTTTTAAGATTTAAGATCTGTCATCTACTTATAAGTTTCCAAAACGTTTTTCATTTCTTTTCAGGTGTTACGACTGAAATTCTGTAAGCATCTTTATAATTTATGAAGTTGTGACAGCGTGTTTAAATAATCCATGAATCACCACAAGTTCAATGAAGTGTATGTTTCGACATAAACTTCTTTAACAAGGTCAAACCTGTAGTTACTGTCCCATTTAAAAACCAAACGTGACCTGTATGATATATAATTCGTCTTCTTTACACAGGAAACTCCTCCCAATGTTTACGTAAGTCAACTGTCGTACCTAAATGTAGTGGGACAACGCTCATAAGGCCAGAAAACTTGTAATCCGGTCTGCCGTAGATGTTATAAGAATTTCTAGGATATTCGCCGAAGTAGGAAATGTGGGGAGGAGTTTCAGATAGACTATGTGTCGTATGACTTATATGTGATGTACTGTGGTCTACGTACTGGGCGGAGACCTGTAAGTGGTTTAGTTTAATCAAAGGTTATATAATATATCTAAACTGTTGCGTCTATTGGACAGGCTTATAATTTAAGGTGGTGGGGGGGAAATTGAAAAGATGCTCATACAACCCTATCTGTTAACACGACATTTGAACTCTGTGTAGTGTTTCAGTCACTAATATTTCACACACAGACAACAATTACCTTGGATAAAGAAGAATTTTATTTGTATTTTCGTTATAACGATGACGACGTATAGAAAAGTTCTGACTTTTGTTCTGATCGCTTCGAAGACCCTCGTGTTGGTATCGTCAGCGGCTACAAACACTGCTGTAATTTCAACTCCGGATACATCGTTTGAGGAATGTTTTAATAAAAATTCTATATCCTGCCTTCAAATACAAATATATAGAAATGTGAGGTCGTTTTTTGATCAAGATAGAGTTGATTTAGCTGGCGGAATTTCTTTAGTCCGTGAAGATGGCAACAAAAATCAATCAAAGGCGAGGGCAACCGAAGACGTCATAGCAGAAGAGCAGATTATAGAGGCTGAAGATTTCGAGCGGAGAGAATCTACTCTTGAATCTTTCGTGTACAGAAAACTAATTGCATTTTTTCAAGAACGCAGTGTCCGATGGAATATTTCTCCAATAATTGACACAATGACAAGTACAAGCGGAATTACTGAGAATCTAGCAGACGACGAAGGCAAGACAGTCACCAATTTCGAAACCGAAGGTCAGTCTGATTTCTTTATTTCAATCATAAGTGTCCTAAATAATTTAATTGATTGATTAATGAGTTACAGTACGACAAATTTGATACTCTATGAATTATATTGTCAATTAATAGGGAAATTAATAATAATGAATTGAAAAAAATATTAAATAAGCGGTGGATATATATATATATATATATATGTGTGTGTGTGTGTGTGTAGGGGAGATGAAAAAATTACATAATGAGGAGCTTCATAATTTATACTCTTTCCTTTTTCAATATAACGTTTTAATCGATGAGGATAAGATGGGCGGAACATGTAGCACGGTAAATATGAGAAACGTATATGGAACACTGATAGGAAACCTTACGTGAGGAAAAATGATCACTTGAGAGACCTAGAAACAGATGGGAGAATAACAAGATCATTGAAATTAATCTTAAAAGAAATATTTTTTTTAGAATTGGACTAGATTGTTTCTGGCTCTGAATAAGTTTCAATGGCAGGCTTTTGTTTACACAGTAATGAACTTACGGGTTCTATAAAAAGCTGTTTCTGGGCCGGCTTTGTAACAATCAGCTTCTTCTACACCATGAACTTAATTGTACAAGAGAGTTCAGCACGACATAATTGAGAGGCTGTGCAAATTCCTGTTTCTTTATTCAGTCTAATTTTATTTTCATATTTATTTAATGTTCAATCTTCTTCCTTATTCATTTGTTTCTTATTTTCTTTTGTCTTCCTTTTTTCCTCTCTGTTTCCTCTCCACTCTTGCCCTGACCGCAGTTTTGTCTTGTTCTCCAGCTCGTGGTCGTAAGAAGTTGTTGAAGAATCTCCTGCCCCTTCTGATCGGAATCAAGTTGAAGGTCGCCGTACTCCTGACCTTAGCGTACCTTGCTATAGCCTTCATCGCCAAAAAGGCCCTCCTCGTCAGTCTCGTGTCGAGTGCCATCTCGGCGTTTGCGGTAATACAGAAACTTCTGAGTCAGGGGCCTCAATACCCACATCACGAGGTCCAAGGGACGTACGTGGTTCCTCACGGTGGAGGTTGGGAAGGAGCTGTCGGCGGTGGCTATGGTCATGCTGATTTTGGGAGTCACCCCTCTCCAGTGGCTCATACCCTGGCTTATGGGACTCAGAAATCATCCCGGAAATAGAGATGGTGAGGTCACGATGTCTATGTAGTGCACGCTAAGACAGGTCGACCAGTGTTTCAATATTATCAGGGCAGTGATTGGCTGTTTGCTGTGAATTTCCGAACGCATTTGTTGTACCCAATAGCATGTCAGTATTTTTGCCGTGGTCACAGTGAAGAACGCCTGGTTTATTTTAGAACATTTGTAACTTCCTTAATGTTTCGCTTTTTTGGTGTTTTCCATATTTAAAATCATAAAAATTGCATATTATTTCTTGCTGTCTAACGCCACTGCACACAGCGTTAATTACAAAACCGACACTGACAAGAAACACAACCGGCTAGAGTGTGAAGAACGTATCTTAAAAAAAAAAGACGCTGCTTACAAGGTAATGAATCTTTGGCTCCGATAAGAAATGAGGAATTTGTTATTAATTTAAGGTAAGCTACTATCAGATGTTAGAGGATTGTTCTACAAGGAGTTAATAGTTATCATGAATCGATCGGTATCAAGACTGAATTACACCCAGTGTAAGTTTCTAACACCAAATTTCATCCGAGAGAAGATGTCTAGAATCCGAAAACCGGTTTAAATCAGAAAAAAAGAATGATCCGCTTAGCTTACGTAGAATTAATTAATTTTCACCAGTTTGAATATGCAGAAACACTTAAATCGGTAACATTGATATGATCAAAAATAACGTAAAAATTTGAGTACAAAGATGCATTATGTTACAAATCAGTTTACTGATGTAACATGACTCACGATTTAGCCGAAGTGGTCTGATCTGTGCTACTTACGTTGTCATGGTTTTAGGCATGGATTATAAAATAAGTTCGTGGATCTTTGTTACAAAACATATTTCGATAACAAAATTTGATGTCGCTTAAGATTTGAGATATTTACGGGGTGAAAATTTGGACTATCTTCCGGGGATTACCAACGTTACGAAAGAACCTACCGCCTCCATATTCAGGGCAGGATTGAAGGAAACCTTTAAATCACCTTTTTAACGTTTATTAAATATACAACCTATTCACAATCAGCTTCATTTCACCTGATAACAGACCTGCATCTTTAAAAAGGAATATTAATTTAGCTAGAACCCTCGTTCTTTACCGATTGAACATGCCCAATTAGGGCACATATGTTGATTCAAATTTATGATTTTTATCCTTTTTTTCATATTTTGTGTTTTTAAATTGTAATAATTTTACTTATCGCATCGAAATCATTTAATAAAAATATGTTAATAATATTTAGTAAGTTATAATATACAGTTAATTAAAAAGCAAAATACAGTTGCGTGAAATCGAAGATGAATAGAGACCTTGAAAAGATCAAAATCGGGACGACGAAGGAAAACTCAAAAATACTAAGCCAGACTATTAAGATTGAGCGGTTTATACGCAATCAAATTTCCAGTACATATTTCTTAAACTAGTGGTTAATTTAACATTTCTTCAGCTCGTAACACGTAGCATGATATCAAAATGTCTCATTACACCTGAATCACTGTCCAGTTTTGAACATTTCCCGCCAGTTGTAAGCATACATAGAACACAGATAGCAACTGACTTCTGATGTGTGTAATGTTAAATGTTTATGTTCGTGAGCGATTGTCACTGACCATAGAAGACCTGAAATTTAGGATTGAGATAGAAATTTATTACGAAGCATAATTTTTCTAAATTAAAAATAAAATTATGGCTCTGTAAATATTTGATCCTTTTTCAATATAACGTTTTAATCGATGAGGATAAGATGGGCGGAACATGTAGCACGGTAAATATGAGAAACGTATATGGAACACTGATAGGAAACCTTACGTGAGGAAAAATGATCACTTGAGAGACCTAGAAACAGATGGGAGAATAACAAGATCATTGAAATTAATCTTAAAAGAAATATTTTTTTTAGAATTGGACTAGATTGTTTCTGGCTCTGAATAAGTTTCAATGGCAGGCTTTTGTTTACACAGTAATGAACTTACGGGTTCTATAAAAAGCTGTTTCTGGGCCGGCTTTGTAACAATCAGCTTCTTCTACACCATGAACTTAATTGTACAAGAGAGTTCAGCACGACATAATTGAGAGGCTGTGCAAATTCCTGTTTCTTTATTCAGTCTAATTTTATTTTCATATTTATTTAATGTTCAATCTTCTTCCTTATTCATTTGTTTCTTATTTTCTTTTGTCTTCCTTTTTTCCTCTCTGTTTCCTCTCCACTCTTGCCCTGACCGCAGTTTTGTCTTGTTCTCCAGCTCGTGGTCGTAAGAAGTTGTTGAAGAATCTCCTGCCCCTTCTGATCGGAATCAAGTTGAAGGTCGCCGTACTCCTGACCTTAGCGTACCTTGCTATAGCCTTCATCGCCAAAAAGGCCCTCCTCGTCAGTCTCGTGTCGAGTGCCATCTCGGCGTTTGCGGTAATACAGAAACTTCTGAGTCAGGGGCCTCAATACCCACATCACGAGGTCCAAGGGACGTACGTGGTTCCTCACGGTGGAGGTTGGGAAGGAGCTGTCGGCGGTGGCTATGGTCATGCTGATTTTGGGAGTCACCCCTCTCCAGTGGCTCATACCCTGGCTTATGGGACTCAGAAATCATCCCGGAAATAGAGATGGTGAGGTCACGATGTCTATGTAGTGCACGCTAAGACAGGTCGACCAGTGTTTCAATATTATCAGGGCAGTGATTGGCTGTTTGCTGTGAATTTCCGAACGCATTTGTTGTACCCAATAGCATGTCAGTATTTTTGCCGTGGTCACAGTGAAGAACGCCTGGTTTATTTTAGAACATTTGTAACTTCCTTAATGTTTCGCTTTTTTGGTGTTTTCCATATTTAAAATCATAAAAATTGCATATTATTTCTTGCTGTCTAACGCCACTGCACACAGCGTTAATTACAAAACCGACACTGACAAGAAACACAACCGGCTAGAGTGTGAAGAACGTATCTTAAAAAAAAAAGACGCTGCTTACAAGGTAATGAATCTTTGGCTCCGATAAGAAATGAGGAATTTGTTATTAATTTAAGGTAAGCTACTATCAGATGTTAGAGGATTGTTCTACAAGGAGTTAATAGTTATCATGAATCGATCGGTATCAAGACTGAATTACACCCAGTGTAAGTTTCTAACACCAAATTTCATCCAGGAGAAGATGTCTAGAATCCGAAAACCGGTTTAAATCAGAAAAAAAGAATGATCCGCTTAGCTTACGTAGAATTAATTAATTTTCACCAGTTTGAATATGCAGAAACACTTAAATCGGTAACATTGATATGATCAAAAATAACGTAAAAATTTGAGTACAAAGATGCATTATGTTACAAATCAGTTTACTGATGTAACATGACTCACGATTTAGCCGAAGTGGTCTGATCTGTGCTACTTACGTTGTCATGGTTTTAGGCATGGATTATAAAATAAGTTCGTGGATCTTTGTTACAAAACATATTTCGATAACAAAATTTGATGTCGCTTAAGATTTGAGATATTTACGGGGTGAAAATTTGGACTGTCTTCCGGGGATTACCAACGTTACGAAAGAACCTACCGCCTCCATATTCAGGGCAGGATTGAAGGAAACCTTTAAATCACCTTTTTAACGTTTATTAAATATACAACCTATTCACAATCAGCTTCATTTCACCTGATAACAGACCTGCATCTTTAAAAAGGAATATTAATTTAGCTAGAACCCTCGTTCTTTACCGATTGAACATGCCCAATTAGGGCACATATGTTGATTCAAATTTATGATTTTTATCCTTTTTTTCATATTTTGTGTTTTTAAATTGTAATAATTTTACTTATCGCATCGAAATCATTTAATAAAAATATGTTAATAATATTTAGTAAGTTATAATATACAGTTAATTAAAAAGCAAAATACAGTTGCGTGAAATCGAAGATGAATAGAGACCTTGAAAAGATCAAAATCGGGACGACGAAGGAAAACTCAAAAATACTAAGCCAGACTATTAAGATTGAGCGGTTTATACGCAATCAAATTTCCAGTACATATTTCTTAAACTAGTGGTTAATTTAACATTTCTTCAGCTCGTAACACGTAGCATGATATCAAAATGTCTCATTACACCTGAATCACTGTCCAGTTTTGAACATTTCCCGCCAGTTGTAAGCATACATAGAACACAGATAGCAACTGACTTCTGATGTGTGTAATGTTAAATGTTTATGTTCGTGAGCGATTGTCACTGACCATAGAAGACCTGAAATTTAGGATTGAGATAGAAATTTATTACGAAGCATAATTTTTCTAAATTAAAAATAAAATTATGGCTCTGTAAATATTTGAGGGTAGTCTAACACACATCATTTACAAATTATTTATAAAATTATTTACATACATAACATCCAAGTTAGTTTCTAGGTAGTGATTAAATTATTAACAAGAACAGAATACAGGTGTTAAGTGCCAATATAACCATTGGTTTTCTAAAGGGACTCTAAGTGAATTTATATTGTTTCAGGTTAACAGAGAATTCTTCACATCCTACAAGATGAGTCTTCAAACGATTCCGGATGGACTTAAATATTACGATTATTTATCGAACTAGTAGTTACATTATTTTTAACACAGAGAAGTAAAACCAAATATGTTAGATGACCGGACAAAACATTAAGTATATATTGCGTTTCAGTATTCATTGTCCATTATTTAAAACTTAACCTATTTTACTAATACATGTATAAATATTAAAGATCAGTTTACATTTTCTCTCTCCAGCCAAACAACTCCATATACATTCATTAACAAGAGTCCATGGTAGTCAACAATACTAAATGAAAATATTTCAACGTAAATATCTCAAAATTATCACATTACAGCAGCGCAGACACGTGAATCTGTCGTATAATATTTTAAATATTTTGAATTTATCCAGTAGCTATTAAAATAAGAATTTTCTTGGATATCATCCATCATCTAATAAATAAAATATAAAACGTAAAAAACGACGTTTCGGAGATGGGGCTCTATCTCCGTCTTCAGCCCCATCTCCGAAACGTCGTTTTTTACGTTTTATATTTTATTTATTAGATGATGGATAATATCCAAGAAAATTCTTATTCTAATGACTCATCACCATTATCAAGAACTTTTAGATTTGTTATCCAGTAGTGTTTGACAGCCGACAATCAAATTGTAATCTTAACGGGAGGACACCGTACAGTCGTCATAAGATGCAAATGAATTAATATAATATGAGGTAGGGAAGGTTATAATAGAAACAAGTTGAAAATATGCAAGCAATTCGAAACTTCCCTTGTTATTTCAAGATATTATATGCAAAATGTCGAGGGGATTATTGTTATACTGCG